CGGAGTAGTGATATTGGAAATTGTAATGGTTTGAGTGGTAACTGTCATAGTTGTAAACGTCGGAGTAGTAATGTTGGGAATCGTAATAGTTTCAGTAGTAACAGTCATAGTTGTAAACGTCGGGGTAGTGATATTTGGAACCGTAATGGTTTCAGTGGTCAAAGTCATAGTTGTAAAAGTTGGAGTAGTGACATCGGGACTCGTAATGGTTTGAGTGGTAACTGTCATAGTTGTAAACGTCGGAGTAGTAATGTTAGGAACCGTAATGGTTTGAGTCGTAAACGTTAAAGTAGTCATATTGGGACTTTGAATAGTAGAAATAGTTGGAACACTGAAGCCAGGACACGCACAACTACGATAACCGTTGCCATTACCATTAATCACATATCCTCCTAGACAATTACCATCATCGTTACCAGCACTACACCCAGCCGTATTACAACTAGCACTGTTAGGTGCATTTCCTGGAGTAACATAGCAATTACAACCGGCTGGAGGGTCGCCGTTTGTCAGATGCAGAGCTAAAAGCAATGCGAGAAAGGCAACTGTTTTACCTTGAATCATTAATGTTGGCTTCTATGTATCGCACTTGAAAGTATGAGGACAATTAGTGTAGCGATACACAATTTATTTCTCTACACATAGAAAGTGATCGGAGAGAAAATAAAAATCGAAAACAAACCTGCCCATTTCTACCTCTCATATACATATATTTTGGTCTTCCTTTTAACTACGGACACGCCTTTGATATCATCATATTTAGTGACAACAACAAGAATAGCACGCTGTGATACAGTGACGCTTAAGGATGCACTTTGATCGTAAGGTAAACAAAACAAAAATAAGCTCTTTTACGTAGAGTAGTATGTGTTTACTCATACATTTTGAATTTATTGAAACGTGTGAACACTGGATAAAGAAGATTACTTATGAACTGAATATGTGACAAATATTTGTTCATCCAAGCAATGATCAGCTGTGCATTGATGAGAACGAGAATATGCACAACGATGTTGAAATATGATATAAATTAACAACTAATTTGCCATCTTTGTGTCGTTGATTTCTAGTGCGATGTTTTATAAATGAAAATGAATCATATAGACGTTCCAGATGAAACATGGAATAAACAATTGAAGTGAAAATGTACATCTGCAACGTAGTGTCGAATGTGATGAGGATTTGGATTCAGTTGCACATGAATAATTGATCCTTTTCTTTTGTAATACTCTTTTCCTCTAATATCTAACGACTGACGAGTATTTATTATTCAATCTCCAGGAAAGCTTAATTTCTGACAGTAATGATCATTCTTTAAAAGTCGATTGACACGACCACTTCCAGGTAAAATATACATTAAGATTGAGAGAGAAACGAAAAACATCAACTGTGTATCGTATAAATTAATACGTCTTGTGAGAATCAATATTTTCTATCTTCGCGAGCGATGACATCATGAGTAACATCACATTTGTTTTTCGAAAACAGAAAAGAGCTATTTTATTATATGGATCTCTTTTTGTTTCAAATGACTTAAAGAAAGAAATTAATAACATCTTACAGATTCTGGTGACACACAGAATTTATTATAATTGAAAATTCATTCTATTTCTGTCTCCAACCTATCAGTAATAGAAAATAAATGAATCAAATTCATTAATTATCGATATCGATAAGATATATATTCTAGTAGAAATCAAACCATATGCAATTTATATATCGATCGTTCTGAGGATGAAAGTAAACTTGAAATAAATTGAGTAATATTCATTCTTGAACAACACATGTGCGATAATGTATTCGTTATTATTATATATTATTTAGAACATTTATTTCAACAATTTGACTTTCTCAAATAGAATAAATTTCTCTTTAATCTTTTCATTATTGTAAATTAGATAAATACAACAAATAAAGAGATAAAGGAAAATATCTAAAGAATAAAAAGTTAAAAGAAAAGAAAAATCTACTCGATTAATTTGATGAATTAATTGATTTGTTCGTAATCGAAGTGTATCGGTTGTATAAAAAGATTTTTCACGCATTTGTTGATCTTTTTTCTTCTTGAATTTCCCATTCTGATCGTTTTCGCATTCCTAAAAAGATGAAAAATTCATTTAAAAAAATGATTTTATTCATCAATTTTACTCGTCCATCGAAGAAAATTTAAAAAACGAACATTTTGTAAAAATCATCGTTTTCTTTCATTTTTTCAGTGAGAAATTTTATTGAAAAAGATTTTTTTTTCTTCATTTGTACGTGATGATTTGAAGTAATGACAATAAAATGAAATTTGATCTCTCAAATCAAATCAACAGAATTTCTTTTGTCAGGATTTTCAAATGACAAAATCTCATTTTACACAAAGATTTCAAATTTCTTTTTTAGGTGAAAATTTGTGAAGAAAATAAAGAAATTAAATTGTTTTTTTTATTAAATAAGAAAAAATTTATTTTAAAATTTCAAAATTTTCATTTGAGAAAATCAAAGAAAAGATTTATTTTCAATTTGAAATCTTAATTAACAATTTAATTCTTCTTTTTGTTTTCTCAATTTTGATAAAAATCAAATTAATTATTTCAATTCTCATCTTTTCACAAAACACAATTTATCATTTTTTCAAATCTTCACAACAAAAATCAAAATAATCATCGTTATTCAAATCATTTTCTAATCATAAAACTTCATTTCAGCAACTTTTCAATACAATTACATTTTCATCAATAAAATAAAATATTCTCTGATTTTCACATCTAAAATTACATTCAAATACTTCGCATTATCATTTATAACAATGACTTTTTCACTCATTATGGAAATTATTTGAGAAGTTTCTACGAAAGAAAATGAGAAGAATTTTATTACAATTTGAAATCGAATGAAGAAATACAAAGAAAAACATCAGTTTGCATTTCAAATTGTTTTCTTTACTTCAGCAAATATCTCTGAACAATTTCCTGTTTTTGAACAAATTTCAATGAATTGATTAAGAAAAAAGATCAATAAGGAGAGTCTCAAATCACTTTGAAAGACAAAATCATCGATGAACTAAAGAGAAAATTCACATAAAATACAAAAGAAAATCTCAAATAAGAAAATAAAAGAAGATCAGAAATGAAATGTTTTTGTGCATTTTTGAAACAAAATTTGAGAGAAGTGACACAATTTTCCAGATTATTTGAATCAATTTATGTATCGACAAGATGTTTGTATTGTGTTTGAGATGGTTAAAAAGATATTTCTGGGCAAAACAACATATGAACCAAAAGAAAAAATGTTCGCCTCCATTTCTATGAAATTTAACACAAATATGAAGATCTTATCAAATCGATCATGATGAAGGTGAAAGGATGGATCTATCAACTATCAATCTACTCATTCTCGCCAGACAAAACTGTATTCCATAATTCTGCACTGCCATCTATTTGATCCATTCGAGAGCTGTGAATGAAGCTATACAATCCGTTACTGAATCTTTGAATTACAATATTTCATAGATCGGATTAGTAATCTTGATTTTGCATTTGACGTTCCATACACATTATATACAATAGAGAAGCTATGAGAAAATTTTGTAGAAATGACAATGAATAGTAGAAGCACCATCATCTTTTCCATTCTGCTCTTTTTCACATTGAGATATTATCGATAATGAACAACACGAGTACTTTCACTTTTCTCTGCCAGTGTTAAATCTACTACTTTTTCATAATATAAACAAAAGAAGAGATCAGGAACATAAGCACACTTCTCTTCTTACGATGAACTCTTTGTGGATGTTCATCAGTATGTCTGAACTGTATGACACCGAAACAGAAGGTTCTGCTCCCCTTTTTAAAGGAAATCGCAGTACAATTTGTACTGATATTTGTGTAGTTCTTAATTTTAGAATAAAGATTGTTCAATATTGAGCTGAGAAAAGCACAAGCTACTGTAGTATAATAGTAGTATCACGGTTTGTCGGACCGAAGATCAGGGTTCGATTCCCTGCAGTAGCGCGATATCTTTTTTCATTTCATCATTCACTAATTATTTGTAACATAATGATTCATTTCGTACAATAATTGCATCATATTATGTGTACAGAACACAAACATTACTTTTCGTTCTATGAATATGACTCATGTGTGTTTTCATATCTATCATTGTAGTCTACATTATGCATATGAATTCATGCCAATAGTTAGTTGACTTTTCTTTTTGCGTAATCTTCTTCCTTTNTTTTCTGATTTGTATTTTCATTCGATAAAATGAAATATTTGGAATCAAAAGAGATTCGATTGAAATTGTCTTTTGAACAACTTCAACTAAACCTTCTGGTTTATTTATCGATAAAAACAACATCATTTATGTTTATCAAATAAGAAACAAATCCAATTGAGATTTGATCGAATGAGAATAACATTCCGATGAAAATAATTTTATTTTATTTATAAATTATCTCGGTATCGTTTTTGTGACAATACGAGATGAGTTTTATGTTGATAATGAAACTTTTCATCAAGTGGAAAAGTGATGAAACAAAAGGAATTGTTGTAATGAAATACAAATGAACATTCGATTATCTTTCTCTTTCGAATCGAATATTTATCGATGTTCATTCGAAAATTTCCATTTGGAAAATCAAAAGAATCAACGAGAACAGAAAAAACAACAAAATCGTCTTTTGATGAAACAATTTCAAATTCTCTTTTTCCTCTTAATACGACGAATAATCGTGTTTTTCGATCAAAATCCAAATAGTTTTTCACATTTAGTTGAATTTAAATAAAAGAATCGATTTTTCTCAATGAATCTCATTGTTCCTTTGAAAAAGACTATTTTCAGTACATTCCGGTGTGAATGACGATTTCATTTTCATTTAATATAAATGAATTTCAAAGAAAAGATTCAATTTGTGTTTTCAATGAAGAAATATTTTGTTCGATAATCTTTATTATTGAAAATTCGATAAAATAAAACAAATAAAGCGATAAATGAGAAAAGAAAAAGAATTTGTTTTAGACATTTGTTGTTCGTTGATTAAAATAAATCTGAAATGAGAAATTGGAAAAGAAAAGCAAAGAAAAGAGATTTCGTACTCGATTAATTTGATTGACGAATTGATTTGTTCGTAATCGAAGTGTATCGGTTGTGTGGAAATATTTCTCACGCATTTGTTGATCTTTTTCTTCTTGAATTTCCGATTCTGGTCGTTTTCTTATTCCTAAAACAAAGATTTGTAGAAAAGATTCTTCCATTGACGAATTTCACCTGTCCATTGAAGAAATTTCTTCGTTAAGTATGAAAATACTTCCGGATCTTCGATGACTTTTTCCCGCGCGAGTCGAAAATTCTCGTTGATAATTGATAAAAAGATACTTAAGCAAATGAAAACAACGAGAAGAGTAAATAAAGTTAAAGAAAATGGCCCAAGAAATGTTCCCGCACGAGATAATTCATCCGAATCGAATTTCATTAAAATCATTTCAAATAACATTTGTGATGTGTCGAATAAAGTTGAACAGGATTGGATTTTTGAAAGAAAAAGAAGATAAAATAAACAAAGAAATGAAATGAAAAGAATTGAAAACATCAATGAAAATGAAACGAATTCTTTTGTTGATAAACGAAGTGTTTCTGCGAATAAAGATAAACGACGATTAAATCGACATAAATGAAGAAGTTTAATTGTGCCAAAGAAACAAGAAAAACCATAAAAATAATTCAAAAGATCGTTGAAATAAACAGATTCTTCTAAATTTAGAAAAACATCACCTTGACTTTCACGAAATAATTTTCCAATTTCTTTTCCAATTTGAAATCGAACGAAATAAATTCCAATTGATGAAATCGAACAAATGATCAGACCGAGATCGATTATCGACCAAAATTCAATGAAATATTTCCATTTGAAATTGACAATCGATCGAATTTCATTGAAAATCATATAAAGAATCAACAATAAGTAAATGATTGTACAAATTAATTGAGAAAATGACGTAAAAGCTGAAAAGAAAAGATGAGATTTGTCTTTTTAAAAGAAAAATTACCGTAAAAATGAATTGGTTCAAATCGAGATTGAAAATCAATATTTCCTGTTGAATCAAATTGTGTTTGAAGTTTCACAAAAGTAAATAAATTCACATTTGGATTATAAAGTGACATTTGGATTTGAATTTCACGTGTTTGTTGATCAATCCATTGGAATCGATGAAGTTCGGAAAGATTTCCTCGAAGATCTTTCATTGAACCACGAAATTCATAAATGTATCCACGATCTTTGGATTTGTATTGAAATGATTGAGAAATTGATGAAGAAAATAACGAAGTGGAATGTTCAAACCATCCAGGAGAAAATGAACGTTTTTCTTCATTTGACAAACTCAAATCATTTCGACAAATTGAATTTAATTTGATTCGTTTTGGACAAAGTTCTGTTCGAATTCGTGATTGTTTCATCAACGCCCAACCGAGAAGTCGATTTGAAGTGTCATTGAGATGTCCACGGAGATATTCCACATTCTTTCCATTGTACCATTTGTGTGCACGAATCTTTCCAATAAAATCTTCTTCTAACCATTCCCAATACTCATTCACTGATGAGATTTCCACTGGGAATGATTTTTGAAGATGTCGAACTTGAAACGAAGCGTTTTCATTATGATTTGAATAAACAATTACGAAGAGAAGAGAAAGAAAACAAATCGAAAAGAGAATTTCTCGAATAATTTTCCACATTTGAAGTTCACGAAGACGAATTTGTCGAGCACAAGCGATTTCATTTGGAGTTAATCGATTAGGACGAGTCGATGGAAGAATTTCAATTGATGAATGAAGATTTTCTTCATCTTTATTCAACATTAATTGATTTTCATCAAAATATTCTTTCAATTCTTCATCTTCATTCGGTGATTTTCGACAAAAAAATGCAAAAAATATTGCCAAAGATAAAATCTATTCGAAAAAGAGACTCAGTTGGGAGGAAATGAAAGAGGATCGTTACTTTAATTGGTTCGGTGAGAAGAATCGATGAGAAGAATGACGAAAGAACTGAAATCAACCATTGTTGACTTTTCACATCACCAAATTCAATTCCACGTACGATGATAAAGAATATCGAAATGAGAAATAATAGAAAAGAAATTCCATACGCAACAAATAAAAACCACCAAGGAAATCTAAATGAACATTTCTTCTTCTTCTTCCAGATTGGATTCGTTCGTTGATGACGAGATCGAAGACGACGAAAGAATTGAATTAACAAAAGACTTGGAATTAACGAAATCAATTCACTCGTAATGCCAATGAGAATTTCATCGGATGTGATGGAAAATGTTCCAAATGAAAGATTTGTTGAATTTTTCACTTTTGCTTCATTTCGGAGATCATAAAACATAATATTTGAAAGCATTGAAATAAAAAATAAAACAAAACAACAAGTACATCGTTGAACACGTGAAAATTGATTCGACGGTGGACGAGCAAAGATTGAAAACCATAAATGTTCATCAGAGAAATTATGAAAAGCTTTTTTTGCTAAAATAAATGAAAATTTCTTCTTTTCTTCTTCATTTGCACTTGGAAATATTCGTTCGATTTTTCCATCATCTTTTTCCACTGCAAACCATCGTTGAGAAATGAAATGAAATGTTTCCATTGTTTGTAAATCACGAATAATTATATATTTAAGAAACCAAGATGCAAAGGAATCTTTTCCCGAATTGTCGTGCCAAATATGAAGACAATTTAATGATCCCAATGGTTTTCGAACTTTCATAACAAATGAATCAATTCCACCACGTTGAAAAATTTCTCTTTTTGAATCATCAAATGTTCGAATATGAGTTTTGTCATTTTCACCATGTAAAATAAAATGAACCTTGGATTTTGTTCCTGAATCTTTTCGATGACCAGTAAAAACAATTAATTCATAAAAATAATTGTCAAATGATCGATTATCAGATAAAGGTGTTACGCCCAATTTTTCCGAATCTTTTTTATCATATTTTCGTGCATAAATCATCAAAATAATATAAATAAGAATAACAATGATCACAGTTAAGTAAATTGTTTTGTTTTTGTGAAATTCGACATTGTGAAAAACATAATTCCAATCGATCGTCTCAGGTAAAATCACAAATCCACTTGCGAATTTTGTTAAATGTGTAGAAAAACATTCGGTTTCATAATGATTTGTTTGTGATCCAACGATTAATCCATCGGATTTCCATTGATTTTGTTGATTAAGATAAAAACAGCCAGATGTGTAAATTCTCGTTTGATAATCTGAAGTGAAATGAACTGGATCAATTGGAATTGGAAGAGTTTCATTTGAACAGAATTCATTGGATTCGAATGAAGTCAATTCGCGTAAACCAAATACGAATGTTCGATGATCAATTGTTTGTTGATTGTCGAGAAATAAAGGAGAATTGTGAAGAGATGAACAAAACAATTTCCATCCATCGATTTCATTCATCGATCGATTTAATCGAGGAATTTGATCAAATTTATAAATTAATAAATAAGATAAATTCACATCGATTGGTTGAAATTCGAGATGAATGGAAATTGGTAAAGAAGATGAAATATTCACAAAATGATAATGAAATGTTTGATTATGATAAGAAGAATTAAATGTTGAAACATTATGAGAAATCATTGGTGAAATCACAACATTTGGATCTCGTGGAATTCTCAAACGAATTGGATTTTGTTTTGTTGTTTCAAATGGAATTTCATTTCCATTTCGATCAAGAATTGTCAATGAAATCATCGTCGAAAGATTCGTATTGGTATTTGTATCATAAATGGCTAATCGTTCCATCATTGATCTTAAGAGAAGAACAGATGAATTGTTTTGAAGAGAAGATTTGACATTCGATGGAAAATGAATTTCTGCTCTTCCAACTTGTTTCATCGATTTGTTTGAAATTGATTCGATTGAAATTGATTCGAATGAAATAAATGTTTCTGGTGTATCGATGATCATCTTCTGTCCAACATTTAAATGAATATTAAACGATGAAGTGACCAATGAAATCATTTCATCGACTTTCTCAATTATTTCTTTTGCCAATTTTTCTTGATAAAATCGATTTCGATTTTCATTGATTTTCTCCATTGACAAATCGTTTCCATCAACGAATAATTCTTTCAAACAATGAAGATTTCATTTGAAGAGGTGAAAACATTCTCAACTTACTCAAATTTGACCAATCAGAATCCAAATTTGTATCATAATCATCAGGGATTCTCGTTGAACTCTGAAAATCAGATTTTAAGAGATTTGTCCTTTGTTGTAAAACTCCGTTGACACCCTAAATCGATCATTTCAATATCAATAAAGAAAGGAAATCAGTTTACGGTTAAAATATTGGCAGAACATTGAAGAAGTTGTTGACCTGTCATTTGAATATCTTCATACGGAACTTTATTTGATAAAGAATGAAGATCTTTCGATAATTGGGAACATTTTTGTGTCACGATCATCTTTCAATGGAAAATAAATGAGAAAATAAGGTGAGAAAATGTTGAGATTTACGAGAGTTTGTCTTGTTAATTGATTTGTTGTTTCGGTGAGTTGAATTAACGTTGATAATTGTAATTTCATACTTTCAATTGTCATCGGACGAATGTTTCTTATGAATTCACTTAAATTCTCTCGAAATTCTGCTTGAAAATTCATTTGTTCGTTGAATTCTTTCATTGCTGATTGATTGGAGAGAAAATCATTTGGAGAAGTTCGATTTTGTCCCAATGAAGAAACAGAAATTTGTGTTGATGAAATTCCATCTGAAGAAGAAAGAAAAAATTCAATTGAAAGAAAAGATTTTACATTACTTTGCGTCGCTTTTTCACGATTTTCATTGGTCATTTGATTAAATTGTTGAGAAATTGAACTAATGATTTGTCCAATGGAATTTTGATCGTGATTTTCATGTAATTCAACTAATAAACCTTTTGTTTCTTGTGAAATGACGGAAATAGTTGATGAAATGTTAAATTCAGTGATTGAATTCATTAAATCACGAATTTGAACAAGAAGATGAAGATTTCCACTTGGTAAACGAACAGTGAAATTGGAAATTGGAGAAAAAGCAACGATTGTTCGTTTTGTTGGATCTTTTGACCAATCTAAAAGAAAGAATCGTAGAGAAGAGAAGATTTCTTTCGTTGATTTTCTTTACAAAACAAAGAATAATCTTTGATATTATCTTCGATTTGCCAATCGAGACATTTGATTTGAAATAAAGTTTCGATCGTTCCATTGATTCGATCGATTGAACAAGTTCCATTCGATGGTTTAGAATTGATTTTAAAATTCAATGCACTAACGCTTATTTCATCGGCAAATGAATAAACAACTTCATATCGCCAATAAATTATCTCAGGATGAATCAAAAATAAATCATTTGTTGAAGTGAAATTCTTCGTTGTTTCTCCTTTCAATTCAAATCAATTTCATCAAATTCAAAAAGAAAAATGAAAATTTTACCGTAAAACCACGAAGAATTCCTCAGAGAGAATAAAATCCATTGAGTTGAATTTTGTGATGGATAATAAATATTCCATTGAATAATTTCATTTAAACGACAATTTCGATAACAAAATGAATACAAAGCGACTTGTGTTGTTGGATTTATCAATTGATATTCGAGATTTGATGAACAAAGTGTTGAAATGACACATCTAAAGACAAAGAAAAGATATGTGAAACATGAAATTATCTAAAGAATTTACCCGATGATGATCATTGGTCTTTTCAAATCTTTAATTTGAACAAGAACAAAACCAGATGCATAAATTGTCACATTTCGACGATTATTCATTTGGACCATAAATTGATATGTTTCATTTAATTGAAACGAATTCGAAAATATTCTTATTGAAGATTCTTTCGGAACTCTTCTTCCGACAAATTCGTATTTTGATGAATTGAATAAACACGAAAGATCTGACGAATCATTCGATGATTGTGCATTCGTTGTGAATTCACCTTGAATTTCATATGTTTTATAACTTCGACAAAAATATCGATAAACCCAATCCTAAAAGAAAATGTCAAAAACAGATTCACAAGAGAAGAAACTCACTGTAGAATTAAATTCAAAACCATCAGGATCAATGGAATAATTTCCTGGATTTAAATAAAGATCTTCTTCATAACCAGATGTGATCATCGATGTTCCTAATGGAACAAGATTTGCAGTGATTCCTGTTGGATTAATTTGAATATAAATTGATTTTGATGATCGAATATGAAGATAATCTTTCAATTGAATATGAAGAGTAAATTCATAAATTCCATATGGAATTGTTATTGAAGGAATGTACAAATCAGTTCGGGTGAAATCAATCGAATCGAACAAAAGTTCATTTGTACAGTTTTTTGTACAATTTCGGATTTTCCATTGAGATTTTATTTCAAATGATTTTGAACATTCGAATTGAATTTTGGATAAAATATAAAAATCACGATTTCGACGAATTTGAATTGGTGATGAAAATGTTGAATGAGGAATTAAATCAATTTCAACACTGGAACATTTTTCTACTCAAATAAAATATTCGATTTTATTCAAATATTTCAATTTTTACTTTCGATTTTTGGAAAATTTGTCGAAATTTGGTTCATTGTTGTGGAAAAAATTGTTGTTTCTTCTTTTATCGCTACAAATGAACAACTTTGATTCGATTAAAAGGATTTTTATCAATGAAATTATCGAACTTTGTTGACTTTGTAAGATGTTTTCAATCGTTGTCATTTCATCTAAAATTTCAAAGGAGAAATAAAAGGTTTTTCGGGAAATTTAACAAACTTTGTTGCATTTTTTTTGTTGTTTCAATAAATGAAGAGTTTTCTACAAATGAAAAAACAAAGATTTCGCTTCTTTAGTCACTTTTTCACTTACGACACGAAGTTTTTTCAAAATTAAACTTTTGAATTCGATGATTTCCATTATCAATAACAAAAATATTTCCATCAATGTCAAAACTCAGAGTAAATGGGGAGGATAATTGATCAGACTGTGAACCTTTTCCATCGCATCCAACTAAACATCGAAAACCATTCGCATCTTCTCTAATTATACGACCTTTTCCAGATTCCGCAATGAAAAAATATTTTTGTGCATCGAGAACAATTCCACTTGGAAGATTGAGTGTAAATGTGACGGATGAAGATCCGTTTCCCACTTTCGTTTTTCCATTTAACTGTCCAACTTCAAATTGTTGGATACGATTATTGCTATAATCTGCCACATATAAATCGAAATTCACATCAACAAATATTCCATAAGGATGATAAAGTTGGTTGAGAGCAGAACCTCGAGCGCCATTTCCAGCAACAATTTTTGGTTTCAAATCAACATCGTTCAACCATCTCTTCATCACTTTGTGTTTATTGAGCATTGAACAATACAACGAATTATTTTGATCGACAAACAACCCAAAACATTGAGAATCAACACTCATGACAGTGATGAAACTTTCATTTCGTTGATTCCATTGATTAACTTGATTGTTCGACCAACCATTATCGATAAAAATATCTCCAACATTTGTCACAAATATCGACAATGATTCGACGAAATTCCCCGAAATGTTTTTTGTTGGATTTGAACTTTGATTGGCCCAGATTAGAATTTGTTTTGTATCCATATTGAATGAATAGATTGTGTTGTTTGTGTTTATAAAAAGAGCACGGGGATTTGCTCCAATAATGTTTCGATCAGCAAAAGTAATTGCAGATTTATTCCAAGTTGCATTTGAACAAAATTTCGGTTGATTAAACGAAAGAGCTGAAATTGAATGAAGAAATCTGTAAAATGACTATGAAAGTTGAAGTTAGGAAATCTCGGAAGAAACTTTGAGTCTGATTCATTGATTAGAAAAGGAATGTTTAAACTAAATCATTGTAAAATCCTGTTAAGTTCTCAAAATTCTGTGAAAAAGTCGTTGATAATCGAATATCAAAGACGAAAGGATAATTTCTGAAAGAAATAAAGTAATTATCACTAGTCTCTTTTGGATTTACTTTTCAACAAAATGTAATTCTGAAAGAATGATATCGGACGGATGAGTTTCGAACTGTTCTTCGGCACCAAAGATATTTGCAAAAAATCTTTCTTTACCTATTGTCTCTTCGTTATGTCAGATTGTTTCAAGTCTGTTTGATACCGTAAATTTGACTCCTCTCATTGACAGAACTTAAAACTCGACTATAGAAAAAGTGTATCTTAACGAGAACAGTACCAATTGATCATTGTCATGTGTCTTTGACTAAATTATCGATGTTTTCAAAGTTTATGTAGTTGGACATGGAAATGTCATCGATTTAGATAAAAATATTGTCAAATATTGATTTTGATTTACCTTGCGAAATTCGTGGAAAAGCTGTTTGATCTAAATGAATGAAAAAAATCCAATTGAGAATTTCATCTGATTTCCTTTTCAAAATTTTCTCTTGAAATTAAACAAACCCAAACTTCATTTTTCTTTACAGAAAACTGGAAGAGTACAATATCCTGATTCTAATCTGCCTGCTATTACATGAAAACGAGGTTTTTATTTAAAGGAATCGCTGTGCAACATTTAGCGAAAAAGAACCTTGTGCGCTTATTTGGAGATTTCAAGGACAGACTGATGACCTGTTTACCTGAATTTGTTCGAACAGTTGATAAAAATCCTTCAGTTGTCATTGGAAAAGCTGTTTGAGAAAGAAAACAAAAATCACTTTTTAATGAAAACTAATTTCAACAAACTTTCTTCGATCTTCGTCGTTGTCAAGGAAACAGTTGATAATTCACCTGAAATGAAGAAGACAATTTCACGCANTTGACGCCATTTGTTATTCACACCTAAATTACATCCAAATATTTCCCATCGTCATTTGTAACGATGACTTTTTCACTGATTATGGAAATTAGTTGAGAATTCCGCTCAATTGTGTAGGAAATCAAAGATTCTAATGGAATTTCAGAAGTTTGTACGAAAGAAAATGAGAAGAATTTTGTTACAATTTGAAATCGAATGGAGAAATACAAAGAAAAACATCAGTTTACATTTCACATTGTTTTCTTTACTTTCAGCAAATATCTCTGAACAATTTCTGGTTTTTGAACAAATCTCAACGAATTGATTAAGAAAAAACATCAATAAGGAGGGAATCGAATCACATTGAAAGAGAAAATCTCAAATGTGAAAACAAAAAAAGATCAGAAGTGAAATGTCTTTACGCATTTCGAAACAGAACTTGAGAGAAATGAGACAATTTTCGAGATTATTTGGATCAATTTATATGTCGAGAAGATGATTGTATTGTGTTTGAGAGAGGGTTTTCAGATATATCAACAAATACCCCATTGATTGTTGATAATAAATCGAATGAGAAATTGAATAAAACTCATTGTTGAAGTTGAATATGAATAACTGAAAACTGATGATTTATAACATTTGTAATAACGAACAAATGGAGATGAAATAGTTCCATCATCATTTCTTTAATTCGAATCAAAAGTAAAGCATTCCGAGAAAAAAGATGATGATATTGAATTATAAACAAGAAGTATTTTGATAAAACATTGATTGTTCAATGAAATTGTATTGAATTGATAAGTATTTCTTCGAATAATAACATTTCATTGTTGATAAAAAGAAGAGAATTTATTTGCATATTTCATAATATGATTTGATTGACAATGACTGATTGATAATACCAAAAGGATTTCGAAAACAAAATCACCAATCGAATTTTCATCATTGAATTTCAAGAAAAAAGAAAAGGAAATTTCAGTTCAAATGCAAATCTTTTCTTTAGTTTAACAAAAGAAAAAGAAATTTTTCGGTGATCATTGTTCATTCTCCGTTTAGTTCTCAAAAGAAAAGATTTGTATTTTTTAAATCTAGGATTCATTGTTCGTTCATATTCAATAACGTTTCTTCAATGACACATTTTCAAAATTCGAAAAGAGAAAATTTTGTGTAAGAAGTTCAAAAATGCGAAAAATCCTTTTTCAAATTGGAAAAATCATCGCTTAAGTAAACAATCGAATGTAGAGATGGAAGAAGTACAAAAAAAGTGAAAACAAAAGTAATGAATATGAGAAATTCGTTTCGATGAAATTTCGATTCATAGCAAAGATTTACATGTTCGATCAATTTGTTATTGTTCGAACTAAAAACAATTTCAATTAGTAAAATGGAAGAAATCTTCATTTTGAATAATTTACTTAAGAATTCCTTGTCGTTCGAAAGTTCATAACGATAAGAAAATACTTGTATTCGGTAAATTAAGTGATTCAATCGATTCGTCGTTCACCAACATAATTAGTGATTGTTCCAAGATGTGGGAAAAATCAATGTTATAAAATTTATAAAAATAAACAATGTGAAATGAATGTCACGGACTCCAGTATACTTATCAACTTATGGACAAAGGATCATTTAGAAGTTGAAGTACTTCCAAAACAAAATGCAACGCGCTCACTTCTGATTGATTGATTATTCACTAATGAGAAGAGAAATGTAGAGTTGAGTTAGACATCGGTAACGATTGATGATTTTTATCGGATTTTAATAGATTATATTTGTTAATCCATTCATATAGACACATTTCTAACTTTCATCTTTTTCTCGCGTGTGTTTTGTTCTCGCTGAAAAATGTTTTGGAATTAATTTTGTCTTTTTTTTGTCGCGGGTGTGTAATTGAAAACTTGTTTAAAAAGCAACAAATTAATGAAATCTTTTATTTATGTTCAACAAATGAAGGAAAACTTGGCAATTGAACAGAAAGATCCAACAATAGTTGTAATGAGCTGATGATGAAATCGTTGTGTTCCTTGTCATTTCAATGCTGTATGTTGTAGAATAGTAAACACTTGAAATATCGCAAATGAAAGTTATTTTGAACAAAATAAAAAAAGAAATCGATTCACCTCGTTCGAGAAGAACTTTGAAATAGATTCGGAGGAATATAATCAGTATAATCGTATGAAATTGAAGTTGCAAAACCAACTCGGTTTAGTCGAATTGAAAGAAAAAAGTCGCCAAGAATCTAAAAATTTCCTATGGGTGAACTGTTGAAAACACTATAACAAATAAATTGATGATTTTCATAAGTAATTAAGAAACATTGTAAAACAGAGAGAACAAATGTTTGTCCAGCGGAAAATCTTCTTGTGCGCGACTTGAACAAACCATTTTATATTAAAGAACAATTGAAATTTCAAAATAGAATAACTTAAGAATTTACCAATCCAACAGTAGGAATCATATGTTGTACCAAGAACTAAATTTAAACGTTCAATTTCATCAGCTTTCAAAAGAAACTCATTAAAAAACCACTTGACAGAAAAGAATTTTCTTCTACTGATTCATTTGAAATTGCCAATAGCCTTGTTTCGTTACATTAATATATGTAATTGCTCCGAGATATTTCTCGGTGTCGACATCACCAAAAATTAAATCACCACCGGGTCTTGCGGTATAATCTCTAAAATATTCATTTCAGCAGGTTTTCATTTCTGAAATTGTTGAAATAAAAACTGAAAATCGGTTTCGGAATCAAATTTTGTATCCACATATTGAAGAACAAAGGCATTTCACCCCCAGTTGCATAATTTGAATATGCTAAACCCAACAGTCCATCGCTTATCTCATTAAAAATACTCATAGAAAACTAATTTCCAGCTGATGAATATGTTATCGATGCACTTGCATTGTAAAGTTGAAGATTTCCTTTTGAAAACAAATGAATTTGTTGTTGAAAATCAAACAATTCAGTTTACGACATGAAGATGAACATTTTGTCGATGCAATCCAGAGATCAGATGATCCCGTATCAAAATCAACCTGAAATATTTGAGCAGGAGTCCCGACAGAGGTCGTGCCAGTCCAAAAAAACTTAACAATGAAACTCAAAGTGGGAAAACACAGTTTTGTGTATCTTACATTCATTTTATTCGTAAGCAGTTCAATCCCTGACAGACTTTTCGAATTGAACTTTGACGGAGAAATATGTTGACATCGAACTCTTGAACAATAATGTTCTTTTAAATCGAATGATTTGCTCATTACCTTGACAAATCGTTGCAATTGATGAGTAAAGCCAATAAAATAATGACAGAAAACGAAACATTATAAGATATTCCTTGTTTGGAATTTTTTTTCAAGTACTTTGAAAAATAATTCTCTTAATGACTTTTCATATAATGAAACAAACAACAATGCACTTTTTTTTTGCATTCGGATCATCGTTGAGTCTCTCATCTATTTTGTAAAAAGTGTATAAATATCACTGATATCCAATTCTCGATAGTAGACATGGACAATCATCCATTTCGTCCAGGTAAAATATGTTAAATTATTACCTAATGTAACGAAACCGATATTGAACTTACGTGACATGTTGTGAAAACATTACGTTCCGTCTCGGGGATGGGTTCGTTGAAATATGAACTAAAATGCCAGATGAAATCAATGAAGCTGATCGGACTGATACTAAAGAAGAATTCGGTCTGGAATTAATAGAAAACAATCCTATATCAAATATAAAGTAAGTAACTAATGTTGTCGTTGCACTCGAAGAAAACTAGTATATTCGAAAAGAAACGACAGAAAAACGTGCTATTTTAGAAATATGTTCAATTGTGACACTGTCGACATCGAATCTTTATTATATATAAGACTGCATTAAAGTTCCGCCTCGACCGTCATCACCATAGATGACATATCCCGATTAGTTGAGGAATCAATTTACGTTTAGTGTAAATGAAATATTTTGCGAAGATGTTAGGTTATAATTATTAGTCTGATCAGGAAAATCTCATTGAGACTAACGATTCGTAATTGAATGTCGTATTTGATTGGCACACGTCATTCCGTATACAATCGGAGTTACTAAAGAAAATTTGAAATGAAAACATACTTTCACTTTAATAAAAAATGTATCGTTGGAATATGTATGTGAATGTTATTGACGAATAAAATGAATAAAATTGACCATAGAGAGAAAGAAAATCTTCTGAGAAGTATTTTATTCATTCAATAATTGATGTTAATGTCTTCGAATTCTTGATTAATTCTGTATGATTGATATCATTTTTATAAACTGAATAACTTCTCATAGGAATAATTTTGAGTTTTACCGTTAGAAGATTCGACTTCAACGAAAATGACTCTTTCTCTTTTTCTTCCCTTTTGATGAATTAGTGGATAATAGTAAGTTGAATATGAGTATCAAAATCTGAGTTCTAAATAGAAACAACGTCGTGCATTTACATTTATTAGTTTTAGAGTACCATAAAGATATTCTTCGTTCAGTTTAAACTCAATTTATTCCTCAATGTGAAAATTCGAATAGTCTTTCGAATGATTTTGTATAGTTTAACGTTAATAAGATCGAACAATTCAGTGAAAAGTCTAGTGAAAAAATGTCAAGATAAGCTGCTTTGTAGTTGTTTTAAAATAACTGTTGTGTTTGGAATAATCATCTGCTGATCGATGAAGTCTTTGTCTTTGAAGTGTGACATTTCGTTACATAAACGATCAATTTAATGAATCTATCGAATTGGAATAGAGGAAAATGAACAGAGTTTCGTGTTTGTGAATTGAAATAGATGATATGAAAAGTTTTTATTGTATATCGATTTCTTTGAATCAAAGTAATTGTTACATCAACAAGAATAAACGAATGAATCTCTTTGTCGATTCTTTTCTTTGTCATTTTTCGTCCGAGATAAAGAAGTTTATTTCCCTTTGAATATTAATTTAAGTAATTCCTGTCGAAAGATTCGTCCGGTCAACGTGTAAACAAAAAACATTACCGAGTTGTTAAAATACGTCATTAAGATAAAAATTTGAGCCAGAAAATTCTCTATTTCTTTACGTTCTACCGACTTATCGGTGTACACAGTTAATGAAGAATAAAGTTTATAAACACCCATGGGAGAACTGAAGATAATCAGGATTCCAACCTAAAACAACGCACAAACAAAGATTTAGCTCACCAATAGCACCACTGTTAGACTTACTTGTACAAATAACATTGTCATAATTTGTAAATCTTGTTTTCGAACTTGGGTTCTTGGAATTGATTCACTTGGAGATTGATTTGTTGTTGCCACTTGTCTACGACTTCGTCGGCGATTTCTCAAAGTTAAATAACTAAAAATGATCATCAAACAAATGGGAATTGTTGTAAAAAAGATCATTAATAGAAGTCCATCAACAACTTGACACGCAGTTGAAGTTGTATAACACGAACCAACGGAGTCGACATGTCCGTTATTAAAACAGTAAAATGCTTCAACATAGATCAAACATCCAACGAAAGTCACGACGTAGATCGATCGATAAACTATTTTCTGATTACAAAGATTTCGAAGAGAAGCCGAAAGTGATGAACTACAATATCGATCAAAACATGCAAGTGTAATGAACCAAGATGAACAATAAAGTAAAAGATACGTAAGAAAATATCGGATTTTACATAAGATTGAGAAATAAGATGTATAATCAAGATTATATCCATTTAAGAAGCGAGTTATTAAACCAATATAAAGCACTAAGAGACTGACGACTGTTGTTGATAGTAAATATTGAACACAGGAGTTTTTTCGTAGAGTTTTTCGAGTGAAAATAATAATATTCAGGATATTTCCAAATGTGCCTATGATTAACAATGGAATCGGAACATAACGATTGATTATCGCCGAACTCCAATTCCAATAGGATGATGATGATGACGATGCATTCAACATTTTTTTCAAGAAAAATACTCTTCTCACGGAGTTTCCAAGATTGAATGATCATCTCGTAACCAGAGAAAGACTCTTTATCTTCTTTTAACAATTAGATTCATTTATTCAATTCATTATCAACACGTCGTTTCCGTTCTCGGAATAGATCGTACTTTACGCACGACATCACGCAGTTTATTCATTTTGTCGAGCTCTGACTTTGATGAGCTATAGAATCCAGTGCAAACATAATGAAAGTCAACGCAAATCACAAGCGATTGTCTTCGCATTGACACAACTGACAATCAGCTTCCCCCGAATGACTATGACAATAGTCAGCGCCACGATCAGCGTAAAACTCTTCCATATAAACAGTGCGAGGATAGACCATGTATCGACTTCGAGTGCAGGAAGCATCTTTAAGTTGTATGTAAGTCTTGCGAGAGCCATTTGGTTGCCAAGACCAATCACGACAACGACCACATGTGACACAAGCGCGCCCTTGGCATTGAAGTTTCTTGTTAGAATACACGGATTTGGGTTTTGGCGCATGAGTTTCAGAGATTTCTGAACAAAAGAATTTTATTGGAAATGTTTTCTCGTTTTGCAAGTGGAGTTACCTTTTTTCGACGACGATGGCTTCTTTGCTTGTTTTTCGTGCGAGCTCGATGCGGCTGGCGAAGGTAAGGCATGTTCCAAGTCACTAAGATCGAAAGGATCTGCCAGCATTTTGTACGGCGGTGTGATTTCTCGAAGATGCACGATGTTCAAACCGTCACCCGAAATAAACTTATCAACGACTTCAAGATAAATACCTGGTGGAAGGAGAATTTCGTCTTCGTGTTGAAAGTATGAATGCTCTCGAATAAGTTTGCCTCGATTGCTCTCAATCGAGAACATGGTTCGGGCACCCGAGGTTCCAGCATACTGTGGAGATTGGAGTACACTAATCGATGAACTGCACGAGCTCACACCCCACCAGGCGAGTTGTTTTCCTTTTGGATAGAGAGCACTGAGATCTTCAGGAATACCACGCCAAAGAACCTGTTTAGTAGGTCTGAAAAACAAATCGTATAGCTTTCGGCGACAGATATTCCTTTACTTACGGTAACTTGAATAATGCTGTAAGAAATAGTTTCAAGTATCTAAACCATGGCTGAAGTTTTCGACGATCCGCCAAACGTAGGCTTCGATTGAGCACAGCGTAAAGACTATTGTCATGCACTTGCCATTCCATGGTGTATAAATGAATGGAAGCCGATTCGTCTTGACTTAGTCCATCTTTTGCGTCTTTCGAGTTCAACTTCGCGATCAAGATGTTCTGTTGCAATTCTTTATCGATGATGCTTTCCAATGGCTTACAAGCTTCTTCCAAAGATACTAATGGTTCATTTTCATATCCCGATATCGGTTGAAGTAATTGCTTCGGCTCGTCTTGAATTCTCTCTTTCAATCGTGGATTTACGTCAACGACTGCTGCCATGTATTTTCAATCAATCTCTATTCTTTGATATGTATGGTGCAAGAAAAATGGAGAGCACAAAAAAACAAATGGTGCAATAACACCCTCACCAATCGTGTTTTCTTTTCAATTCTACGCTTTGTGTTGCCATCAGAACATGCTTAACAACATATTGTTGTAGTCAAACAAATAACAATGAAAAAACAACTTTTCACATATGCCGATGCGGAATTATCTTGTGGAGTTAACAGACGTTGTAGAACTAACAGAGGGCAAAGTCCGTTTCCTCATTGATAATGAAGTACATATTCACGGCATCACGCCACTTTTATTCTGTGAAAGAAAGGTTATTTATGATTTATTGATTTGATCTTCTACGTAACAACGGTTATTTTATTTACCGATTTCTCGATCTCGATTGTACCGAGAAGAAAATTTGAATTCCGAGGGATTTTATTTGATTTCTCCAGTTTGATGACGTATAGAATGTAATATCAAATATCATTTGAAGGTGTAATCAATCAAACATATTTGTTTTCATTACGGAAAGAAACATTGAATGATTTCTCGCTTCTTTCGATTGACAACAGTATAAAAAAAAGGAAAAAGTTTATTCAAAAAGAAAAAACATCATGTTTTTATTGAAAATTCTCAGCTTATGCTTGATCATCCATAAACCTAAAGGTGACATAATTTTATCTACACGAGCATCATGGAATCAAACTGGTATTACTATAATCGGATCGTTAAACACAACAAACAATGCTTCATCGTTCGAAATTTCTTCTTCTTATGATATGTCAATGTCCTATGGCGATCGACTGTATATCAGTGATACAAGTCATGATCGGATTTTAATTGTTGACATCAATTCTCCTAATGACGTGTCAGCGATTGGCTCTGGCCCAAATGGTTCACTCGGTTCATTCGACGCACCGTTTGGAATCTCCACAACGAACACTTCGCTCTATGTTATTGACTTTGGTAATAATCGTGTTCAGAAAATGTTACTGAATGGCTCCGATCCGATTCGAGTCGCTAGTATTGCTCGTCTGGATCGACCTCACAATATTTTCGTTGATAATAACGATAATATCTATCTCAGTGATACTTTCAATCATTCCGTATGGCTTTTTCTTTCAAATGGAACGAATGGAACGATCATTGCAGGTGATACAACCTATGGTTCAGATGATAATCAACTCGCTTTTCCCAATGGAATCTTTGTCAATTCCAATGGTACTCTATATATCGCAGATCTTGGAAATAATCGAGTTATGAAATGGTACGCAGGAGCTTCGTCCGGTATTCGTGTCGCAGGAAACGGAACACGTGGCAGTAGTTTAGCACAACTTAACTCTCCCATATATGTTCTTGTCGACACGAATGAATATGTCTATGTTAGTGATGCTTGGAACCATAGGATTATGCGTTGGGCACCAAATGCGACAGTTGGAGAATGTATCATTGCTTGTACAGGGAAAAAAGGCTCGTCTGAAACGCAACTATACTTTCCAAATTCTCTAGCACTCGATAGTCAAAATTCACTGTATGTTGGTGATTATTCAAACAATCGAGTGCAAAAATTTCAATACCAAATTCCATTTTATAATCAACCAGAATTGAGCCCATGTGCGGCGTGGAGTTCAGTAGGAACGACATTTGTCGATAATGAAACAATTGGAGCAAGACCTTTTGGGTTGTTTATTGACATTAAGAATACAATTTACATTCCTGAACGAGCATTAAATCGTGTGCAAATCTGGATGGAAGGAAGTGCAACTCCGACATTAAATATCACATTTAACTTAAGCAATCCGATGTCGGTCTTTGTCACGAGTGTCGGAGATGTTTATGTTGATAATGGTTCATCAGGAAAACGAGTTGATCGGTGGATGGTGAATGCAACGATAGATGTCCCTGCGATGTATGTTCAAGATTCTTGTTACAGTGTGTTTGTTGATAACAACAATAGTTTTTATTGTTCGTTGGGTAATCTTCATAAAGTTATGAAAAAAACGATGAATTATGTAGCGAATCAGACGGTTCTGGTAGCTGGAAATGGTACTGCCGGATCGGGATCATATATGTTAAATTCTCCTCGAGGAATTTATGTTGATAAGACATACAATTTGTATCTTGCCGATTGTGGGAACGATCGAATACAATTTTACCAATCTGGTCGATTGAATGGAACGACAATTGTCGGACAAAGTGCGAATAATTCTTTCGATCTCGATTGTCCAACAGGAATTATCGTTGATAATAATGGATATTTGTTTATATCTGATTCGCAGAATAATCGCATCATTGCATCGAGTTCATATGGTTTTCGTTGCATCATTGGATGTACAAATTCTGAATTGAACCATCCACAGATGATTAGTTTTGACAAATACGGCAATTTATTCGTTGTTGATACTTATAACCATCGAATTCAAAAATTTTATTTGATAATCAATACGTGTGGTAAAACATTCAGTAAAAAGATATCTTTTCAACTAAATCTCTATTTCATTTAGTTTCTCAATCGTTAACAACGTTTGTGGCAACAGGTTGTCTAAATTCGTCTACTTTCGGTGTGTATTGTAATGCATTAAGTAATCCTTGTGCTGCATTGAACCCATGTCAAAATAATGGAACTTGCAATCTCAGCAATACAACATCTCTTGGTTATAGTTGCTCGTGTCCCGTTGGTTTTAACGGTAGTCAATGTGAATATAATAATCGACCGTGTCAATCGAATATTTGTTGGAATAATGGGATTTGTAATGAAACATCGCCAACGACATATTCGTGTGTATGTGCTGCTGGATGGGAAGGAAAGAATTGTCAGACAAAAATCGATTTTTGTCAAGGGATTACTTGTCAAAATAATGGAGTTTGTCGTTCGAGATATTTGAATTATACGTGTGAATGTCTTAGTCAAAGTTATTCAGGTCGATTCTGTGAAATAACATCAACATCAGTGCAAACACGTCAACGAGTGGCGAAATCATTTGGTATCATTGCAATCATTGTCTTAATCTGTACTGTTTTATTCATCCTTACTCTCGATGTTATAAAATATATCTGTGGTATTGATGTGACTGGAAAAGAACTGGAGAAGATCCGCGAAGAAAAACAATTAAAAAAACAAGAACGTTCATCGAATCGTCGCCACAGAAAATCACAATCGAAATATGTCAAAAGACGCATTCCGATTATTATTATCTCCATTATTTAAAATTCTTTCTCTGTATCCTTGTAAATGTATTGCTAATAAAATATTTTCCTTTTCTATATCGCGGAAGATTAAATATTGATTTATGGTCTGAGTTTTGCAGGACAATATCCCAAGTGGCACAAACGATCCATTGACGTTGGTCATTCATCATTTCTGGAAGGCATAATATTAGCTGAGGTATTAGGATAATCATTCATTTCTTGTAACGCACTTCTCTAAAATTATACGCAATTCAAGTTTTCATCCTTCTATCTTTTACTCTGATCAATAAAGTATCAGGTACGTTAGATTCTTCACACAATTGCGCGAGAGAATGCATTTTAAAGAACTCATCTCCAATAATTAATCGCGAATTAAAACATTTTGATTCCAATCATGAACAGTACTTATCAATGTTGGGGTAGTTTTGTTCATTAAATTCAAAAAATCAAATTGTGAAAGCATCATTGATTGAGAATGAAGTTGGAATCGAGGATACAGTTAAGGTGGGATGAAGATGAGGTCCGAACTGAGGGTAGAGGGCGAACAAGTAAAGGAAGAAAGAATAGCTTGTAAAGGGTGAGGACAAAATGCGGATGGAAGTTGACACTTCATAAGCAGTAGAACTATCGAACAATTATGGGGTGGGCATATTATGTGCGTTTGTGGATGAAATCTGAAGCTGATACAGTTTTATTGGATCCAAAGGACAAGATGATATTGTGCGTGGAAATAGTACAGCTGTGGCGTAGAGAAAGAGAAAATCAGCCTGGAAATTTGTAGTCTATTTTGTTTTTATGCTCTATTTTAGAGAACTGTTTGCGTGGTTTGTGCGGGTAAGACAGTAGACTCCGTTCAACAACAAGTCACAATTACAATTCCCAGTGAATACACTTCTCAAACGTGAGGCGTGCTGTCGAAAGAGTAATTCCTGGTTTTTTTAATTAAGGCTGTGAGGTAAATAGAATCATATACATAGTCAATAGAATGCGTTTTATATCATAGCTAACATTACGTGGATTTGCGCTAAGCAGTTGCAAAAGAACTGGAACTGCTGAACCCGTCTCTCATCAGGTTATGCGAAACGAGTTTGTGCATAACGTCAAGTAGGTTGATGGGTATGAATTATGCGGTGTATCGAACTGAGAAGTATGAATGTAAGACTAGCTCTGGAGGAAGAAGGAGTCAGAGATGAGCGCAGGTACGTGATAAAAAGTACGCTGCAGTAACGGAATAAGAGGAGAAATGTGTTGGAATGCGATCCAGCAGCATTAATTTAGGTTTTCGAGACACATGAATGAATCGAACGGTACTTTTAGTTTCCCGATCTTTTGCCCTCACACAATATGAAATAATGAACTATAGTTTATGGTTGCTCACAAACGAGTATGCCTCAACAGAAAATCGCAGATGAATGGGCTTGAGAAGAGTGAGCGTTGTCGATTAGCAGCGGCGAGTGGGGAGTTGCGGACCGAAGGGACGCCGACGACCCGTTGTAGACAAAGCCCGACGGTATGACTATGCTCGTACCCAAAAGTGAAGGATTTCACGTGAATGGTCCCCAGTCATCGGAGATACTAATGCAGAGTGGAAGTCTTCATGAAGAAGAAACTGAAGTATAGGTTTGTGAAAGCGGAACAAGCACAGTCAGTCGAGGGTCTAGTCCGCAGCAATGCTAGTCACATGCTATCCATTGTCATGTTACTTAAGCCGTCTGAAGAGTCCTCTAGCAGGAACAAAATTATGATCATGAAAGCTAGATTGATTCGCGCCTATCCTCAAAATGAGTCCCTTAAGCACGGATGAAACGCGTCGTGGTCTGCTTTACTCACCCACACTCTCACCTACGTGAGTACGAAAAAGACAAATGAAGAAAGCAATGAAAGTGACGCCAATATTGGCGCATCCAAGACATTTTATGAAAAAAATCAAGGAGAAAAGCACTCAGACTAATGAGTTCTCACTCTGAAGCAAGTTCTTTCTTAATAAACTTCAACGCACTAAACATGTTCACATTTTCCAGATAGATAATTATCAAATCAACTGATTGTTTGATATTGGTCACCTTGAACATTGTCGTAGGTAGAAGCAAGACTTCCTTCTCATCCTCGTATTCAGAAACGCATGGCAAGTTGTCCGACAACCTGTACAATGCAATCGCCGTGTCACATAGTTCAGGGAAAATTAAAAACCATGAGAACACGCTTTTTGTCGGTCACAATTGACGGACCGATGAATTGCCGGGCTACCTGTTCTTCAAGTGATGTCGAACAAAAGGAAGATGTTCTGATAAGACTGCTCTTGTTGTGTAATGCCCATTGGTATGCTTTCAGATCTTCATTTGTCATCGTCAGTCCACGAAACGATTGACCTTGAAATGTTCGATCCTCGAGCGATTGCAACCGCAATAGAAGAGGCATAAAGAGAACATCACTGTTGTTCCGATTAAGACTCTTATAGAAAGGCGTTTCAAGCGAGTACAACCGGAGAAGTGGCTCGAGTTTTTTTTTCTTGGCATATTGTAAGAATAATTTTCGAGCTTTACGATATTCCAAATGAGTCGTTGGAATGCTACCGTGAATGGCTGCTTGCAGTTGTCTCGTCATAATTTTTTCCGTATTTTCCTGCCAAAAGAATAATTTGCATGCCGCCTTCATAGGTATTTGATCTAAAGGATTTGTCAAGAACTTTCTTCGGAAATTTGCATAACTAATATACGAGTCCACCATATTACGGTGTATATCTACCCAATCACTACTCGGCTTTGTTTCTGGCACGTGATCTTGGCTGTTTGTAGGAGCAGTCGTGTCAAAAAGAGAACTAACATCGTCATGTGAACAAAATCTGTTGTATCCAGGACGCTGGAACAGCTGCCGGATCTGATTGGTAGATGCTTCCTGATACGCGGTCAGTCCATATCTGTTTTTTCGGTGACGAATAACACCGTATTCGTTCAAAAGGAGATGCACTATTTGACTGTGACCAAAGAAAGCGGCAGCATGAAGAGCAGTGGATCCGTTCGGTTCGAGTTGATTCATGTCAGAAAAGTGCTGTGTAGACAGAATTTGTCGCGTTGCTTGTACATCGCCATTGCGACAAGACCAGTAGAGTAAACTTGCTTCACCTATTCTAGGAGTATCACGAGAGGCATTTGTGCTGCTTTCGTTGCCCATTTTTTTCAAGTTGTGCAACTTATTCCAAAGCTTGTGCACAGATTTTATAGAGTTGATGTTGCTAATAAAATAATTGTTCAGTTAATGACACAGAACGGTAGTTCTTCTCTAGATGAGTCAGTTCTTATCACACTTAACAATTCATACATGGGAAAAAGCCAACCACTCATGACACATTATTTTCATGGAGAACATACACATCATGATTGATACTTCCGTTTACACACTCGACCGTAAACAAGCGAGATGCATACAGATACAGGTGCACGCAGACATTGGTGAGTTGGGTAGAATAGCTTGGAAGAAAAAGAATTTACCTTTCACATTGGGAAAATGTACAAAGTAAATGAAAACACACATAAATTCATTATGCTTACTCATGGCTCGTACTCAGATACGTTGAGTAGCTACACTAACCCTGTAGCACTTGAACACATAAGAAACTTACATTTTTCTTTTTAATCGAAACAATAGAAATGCATACTTGAATATATAAGATAACTCTCGACGGCTGTGAGGGCTATTTACTGGATGAGTTTTACTACAAAAATTTAATTCTGAACTACTTACGATTCGGACTTCGACCTTGTTTATGAGTCATCATCAAGTACGTCCGGAATTTCCAAGGACGCTGCATAAAATTAAATCCGAGCTCCGAAGAAAGCTATGAGAGTCAATTAATACGACTTCTAACATCAGTCTAGTGTTAAGATATAACTCCACTTCTTTATGAGTAACAATTTGAGAACAAATTTGACGAGATTAACAGCAGCTTTGAACTTAATTTTTCATTTGATTCGAACAAGTTGATTTCGAATCGACAAATAATAATAAATTTATTTGATAAAATATTCTCTTCATAAGGAAATAATCAAATGAATATGAGCATGCAATCTGTCGACGTTTCAAAGGCTAATTCTTTCATTACCGAGACCAGGTGTTGAATGATTCATGAACAATGCAATCAAAGAGAACGACGAGAAAGTCAAACTATATGCCCTATATCCAATCACAAACTATATCAGCATTTTCACCATAGATTTATTCTCCTCTCAGTAAAAGTGACGACATAATTCTACTTTTTCTCAAAACCTATAAAACTATTTTCATTGAACATACACGAGGACACTTCACTTAGCTTTTCTTTTTCGTTTTATTTCATTCTTTTTCCAAAATGCATTCATTCAACAGTTGGTATTTCAATGACAGTACGCGCAATGAGACAATAAACTAATCCCATCACAAGCCCAGTCATCAAATGATTGATAAATCTGTTGAGAATCTGAACATTTCTTTGAATTGCGAATTCAACGGAATTCCAGAGCCGATAATTTCATCGTTTCAATCGTAGATCATTTCGGTTCATCCGATGATAAACCAGTAGCACAGTAATTGTTTAATAAATCTATTAGAAAATTTAATACACGATCAAATCATGAATTGAATAACTTGATTGTGTCAACCGTAGATGACTCCGATACGTCTAATGATAAATCGATCGACAAATTGAATACTCGACCAAATTGTAAATTGGACAAAACATCAGCAATTAATTTGATTGTTGCATTCGAAGATCATTTAGTTATGTTTGCCAGTAAACCAACAGAACAATAGGCAATCGATAAAACCATTGAGAATTCGATTGGTTTCTCCAATTGCGAAGTGAATATAACATCAGCAGATAGGTTGAATTTGTCAACCAATAGTCAATCAAATCAAATCGATAGCTTTTATATTCTGACTGGTAAGAGTCCAGTAGATATCTATGATGCGATCTATGAACACGAATTCATTCCAATTGATTCAACTGTTAATCGTTTATACAAAGATTATTCCCTTTTCTGAAAGAAAGGGTTATAGCGTCATAAATCTGATCGTTCAAATGCAAAAAGTTTGCTTGTTTGCATAATCCAATCAGATTGCAGCATCCAATAAATGAATGAAAATTTAACCATGGTCATTACCAAACGATTGTGGAAAGGTTTTCGGGGTCGAGGATCATGAATTAGACATCACGTTTGGAAGGTTGTCAATCTCATGGCATAATAGAACGGATATCAAACTGTTCGATGTGTAGCGCTGCGTTGAAGAAATAGTTTGTGGAAATCAATGTAAGACCTGTATGAAACGTATATAAAAGGCGTATTAAGAGTTTAGAAGCTTTTTACTAAATGATTTTGGTGCGTGTGTTAGAGATTCCTCTATGAAGAGCATTGTGGGCTATAGTGTTGCCGAAATATATTTCAGTCAATGACGAAAAGGGATCAACGAAATAAATCCCTGGCATCGTGATGGAAGGAAAGAAGACACGTGGAAAAATCGAAATTCATTTTTTTTATCAGATTCTGCGTTTTTTGTTTATTCTGTTATAGTGGGATGAAGATCCGCTTCTACTGATCGCAATTAATATCGAGGAGAAAGACATAAAATATGCAACATTGTACAACGACAATTAAACTAACTTTGAATGATAAACATATTGAACGAAGTAAAGGTTTGCAAAAAAGCACGCTTGTCGTTCTCAAATTATTTCTTTGATTCTCATTTGAACCCTCATTGATGTTTTCGACGTTTTCACTTTGGATATGTAAAGTGTGTAAAGGTTTCCATATTTCTTCTATGCTATCAAAGCGAAGATTACCAAGTATTCAACTAATAAAGTAATAAACATGTTGAAATTATTTTTGTTTGGACATCATTGCAAATGAAATACAGTTTACAAGATCTTCCCATGCTACAAGACATTCTAGAATCTATATATATGATATGCGGTGACTCTTCGTTAGACCTGAGGTCTTTTTATATTGGAGCGGATAGGTTTAGATAGATCGGTAGTCAGTTAGAATATAGGCAAGGAGAACTCCGAGATAACATACATAGATTGCGCTTTTGCATCATTATGAAGAATAAGAGGTAAGAATGTCCTACTGAACAAGTACATGTGAAAAAAACATAAATCTGTTATCTATTTATGCTGCACTTTTTTTGAATGTAAAGTCGATTTATTCTTAGCGGCGCGACCAGTGAACAGGCCAATGGAGAAGGATGGAATGTGTGAATTCGTGAGTATATAGATCGACACGTACGATGTCGCCCAGGACGTAATAGTTTATAGAACAATTATTCCTAAGCAATTTAGGTGATATAGAGATCTTTACTCAAAGCGAAATCATAAGCTTCATACACGAAAGCTGCTTTTCGCTGGTTTGGTTACATTATAGAAATTGATCTACATTTTGATTAGCCAATTATTTGTCATTGTGCGTCGACGTCGATTGTTTTAAGGAGAGCAAATGGTCTACTCTACTTCTCATGTAACGTATCCCTGGTCTGCGTTGTGTGGCAATTCATTATGCATAACTATAGTATGATCTCTATCGAAAAACGATTTGTTTATATACCTGAATTTTTTAATATGGAATGTGTGTAAGGTATGATGTTTAATTCCAGGTCGATCATTCCGGCGACTGGATCTGTTGAAATCTGAGTCGGTTCCGGCACAGTTTTCGCCGATTCCAGCAGGTTCCTTGCCGCCGAGTTCTGGCTGGAATTGCACAGGAAATATCCGAGCAGTTCCTGACCGTTTCCAGCTCGAAGTTTGCATGAAACGGTCAGGAAATGACTGGAACCTATGTTTGAACTTCCGGCCGGAACCGACCGTGCCATAATAACCTGGGAGCAAATGTGAAAAGTTGTTATAAAAATACAACAATATTTCAAGAAAAAAACTTAATTAGCAGAAAGATCTATTCGATATTTCAACAATCCACTCAGAACTAACGATAGGACTAGAAATTATTTCTGTTAGATGAAAAGCGTTATCTTTTTGTCCAGTTTCAAAAGAAAAAAAATGATATCTGCGTATATATGATATCTACATATATAAAAGATCACGATTAATTCTCTTGCAATAGTTGGATAAAGATTAAAGAAATCTTTTAATTTGATATCGAATTCTTTCTCACCTAATCAGCTTAGGGAATAATCCGTGATTTGCCATTTTCAATTGATTTTTATAGCTATGACTGTCATTCATTTATACATTTAAAAATCACATTAAAATAGTCTGTTGAGTATAGTGTGATAAATTGATTTATATCATTCACACAATCACGTCAATTTCTTCACGTTGAAGATCACGAGCAAGAATATCAACAAACTTGTCACTCAAATCTAGCGCAGCACTGAGATCTGTTTCCTCAAAATTTGTGATATGAGTTTTAAAAACTGATGCCATTGTATTTGGATACGTGCCAATTTTCATTAATTTATATCGTATTTTTTTATCGTTGAGCGAAGCACTAATTCCTTCGATCGTAAGACCGCAGGGACAACCGGCGGGCCAATGATCGCCTCCACTTGTATACAGAATTCCGTGCGGTGGCGCATCAGCAATATGAACAATATATTTCAGCGCACTCGAATCACGCCATCGGGTATTCATCACAGCATCGTTTAGTCCGTCGAGAACAGCCTTAAGAAAGTTTTTTTTAATTAAAAAGACCCAAAGTAAATGGCTTAGATTTCTTACTTCTGGTCCATCTCCACCGCCAGTAGCCTGAATACTATCAACATATTTCATGATAGCTGTAGAATCTGATAAATTCTCAGGATTTGAGTTAGTTACAAATGAAGTGTCTTGAGGAGGATGATCGCGATAAGCAACGAAACGAAACTTTACGTCTTTGATCACCTTTGTTGCGCCAATAATGCGATGAACAGTTTTCTTCGACTCAATAATATACGAACTCATCGAACCAGTTGCGTCACAACAAAAGACAATATCGAGTTTATCAACAACATCATGTTTACATTTGAAAACGTGATCGCCACTATGCCAAGCGTTCGCTATACAAAAGTTCGGCGAATCATCGATGTGGGAAGGATGTGGGCAGAAGAAAGAGCACGCATTAACAATGCCTAGGATATCATCGTTGTATGGTACACTCCAGCCGAGTGAATGCCAGTAAGCTTCACATAACCAGAGATCATATTTTCGATCTTGATATGGATACCATGAATCGTCTGAATGTCTTGCATAGGAATACAGTTTACCAGCACATCCATGTTCACCTGGGCATGGCTTAAGATGAAAATGCGAACGTCCGCGACGTTCACATGATTCACTACAAATTTCCGGCTTACAAGATTCACCAGGTTTATATTCGTGTGATCTTCCATCTACTTTGATCACTACTGATTTTGACTCACTATGTTTAGATACAAAAACATTACATTCTTTATTTCGATGAGTATTAGTGTGATGATACGACTCTAGATGCTTGTTTGGAAGTTGACAAAAACTACGACACTCTGGACATTGATAGCCACAACGATGTTCGATTTTACAATTGTGAGCTTGAGTACCATGAGTAAGAGTATGAATAGGAATAGGTAGAATACACTTTGAACGAGTTGGTTTTGGTTCATAGAATTTGTATGGAAATGTATTCATGGCGTTTTCCCATTGTTTCTCAATAATATCATATCCGATTGAGCAAACACCTTCTTGAATACAATCATATGCGCATGAATGTTCGTTTTCACAAACATGATAGTCAATAATAAGTTCGCCCATCTTGAGCTTATTCTTTTTCGCATCGTCAATTAATCGTTGATGAGCATGATTAACGAATATACAACGTCGACGGCACTCTAGAATTTGACAGGAAAATGGACAAACTGTTTCAGTACAAATATGATCTTTGTGGTCTATTTGTGCATCAAACGCGCAGTTTTTGTCGCATTTTGGGTACTGTGAACACTTTTGCGCACAGTAGTGTCGATTAGTGCAGTCATGTACATCCTGATTGTCATGATCGACCTCCAGAGAACAAAGTAGCATACATGTTGTCGTTTTCGTACATGGTTTTCCACAAGTATGACCATCATTACAACGATGTTTGTCTTCATGGCCATACAATTGAAAACAAGTATTTACTCCATTGCATAGTTCACACGGTGCTCTACAAATATGATCTGTTTCACAGTTACAATCATCGCGGTGATCGAATCTACTGTTGCACAAGCGTCGACAGCGATGACAGGAACGTAAACATAATCGCATCGACTGACCAAATTGAACTAATCTCGTCTTCAGTGCTGTTTCAAAATCTTTAATATCTGCTGTGTAGGTAGGATCATTAGTTAATTGATTACGAACGTGTGAGACTATAAACGCAACTCTATGTTCTAGCGTGATTGTTTGTACTTTACTCAGATTAGTCAACCATGTATTGTGATGTGCTTCTTGATATTTACAATCGAAATGATTCTCTATCAACTGAATAAGTGTGTTAATCATTTTGAAAGATTCTTCTTTTTTATCTGAATCAAGTATGGTAAAGTAAAAATCGATAACTTCATTGCCATCCGTGAAGTTTAATCTTTCTTGATCGACTATAATTTTGTCTTCAATATTCGGATTAGCCAATTGCTGAACATGAATGGTTAATTTGTCACACGTAGAGAACTGATTTCCGCCTTGAGCCATCATCACATACGCTTCGCGTTCCAATCGTGAAAAAGCCATCTTTAATCGATGGATATCCATGACTGTATCATCATCAGTATGAACTTGTGCTAGAGTCAGTTTAAGGCTTTCTAGAAAATCACGTCCCGTACTCCAGCGAAATGGTAAACTGATGATCATCTTGCGAACCAGCTCAATTTCAGCATCAAAAACACGGTTTTCAAAGTGATGGAGGCACTGACCGACAATTTTCCCACCAAACAGTTTTTCTAAGTATCCGGAACGATTACTTCCTGCTTGTTGCCGAACATTACTAATAAGTTCGACATAAGCTCCCTCAGCATCTTGTGATGATACGTCTCGAATGACCATCATTAGATGTCCTTTGAACAATTGAGAGCCTTTCACTCTATCACAGCTCTTGGCGAAATTACTAAATAGCTGATTGAGGTGTCGGTTGAATGAGAGATCTTGATTAAGGAGAAAAACGTCAGTTACGGCAGCAAGTGTTAGACATAATTTCATCTCTTCTATATCATTTCGCCGAGTAGAGAATAGACCTTCGCAATCAAGAACCACAACGACTTCATTGTGGAGAAAAGCTACTGAGAGCCAAATTCCATCTGTACATCTTGTAGAAGCCACGTTGAAACGAGTACCAGTTACACGATTTAAAAAGTAGGATTTACCTAAAGTGATCAAGAAACCGTGTTTAAGGGGTTGCAAAGCTAGCGTATTTACATCTAAATGGTACAAAATATCATTTGCATCCTTAGTCTTGAGTATTCCTATTTGCACACATTCTTTAAAGAGCGTAGTAAAAACCGAGGTAATTGATACGATATGCATTCAACTTTCCGAATAAGCTGTAAGACATATTTTCGCTCTTCACAATTTAACGTATGAATTCTCTATCTTTTAATCAGTTGATCAGACTTCGTAAAAGAATAAAATATTCACATATATGTTTGATGTGTTCATCTAACCCAGCGACTTAAGTAAACTCATAAGTCTGACTTGCAGATTAAAAATAACAGCTTCAACTTTTTTCAAAACTGACATACGCTTGATGTCAGTTGTAATCGAATTCCATTCTACTCAAGTGAGATTCCTGAAATATTTTGTTCATAGGTTAAAACTATCGAAAAGTTGAGATAGTCTCCTACCCCACTACACTCCATTGATTTGTGTAGCATGTAGAAAATTGATGATCATGTGACTTACCTCCACTTTGTCGACCGACGATTGCAATTACTTTCACTGGTTGAGCACATTCTAATAATAGCTGCTCGTATGAACCTATTCGGGTCAGTTCTGTAATACATTGAATAAGACCGGTTTTATTGTCTTTCGAAATTTTCCATGCAACAATATCATTGGTAATATTTCGTCCGTCCTGTAATGGGAACATATTAGATTCTTCAATTGTGGCAACATGAATTGGTACACGTGTTTCAATAATTCGTCGCATATCATGTAGTGAAATTTGCTATAATCGGCGAAATATTATTTTCCACTCAGGTTCATCTGTAAATGATTCAATCTCTAAGGTCATTCCAACCGTGTATAAATGAGTAAAATATGTATGTAGTTTATTTGGTGTTGGAAAAAGCTTTTCAGGTAAAATCAGAACGATTTGTGTTTTGCAAGGACTCCCAATAGAATCTGACGATGGACCAAACTTTCTTTGGGCTATGTAGAAAATGTCAAGCACCGGAAAGCCTCTAACTTGTTGTGATTCATCTCGGTGTACTTCAAGCGTGCGTGTAGCTGACAAACCTCGCAATAAAAACACTGTGACGTTACTCTTTTTATCAAGAAGAGTGACATAAGTGTTCGTTTGATCAGCAAAACTTTTAAATCCAACAAAACTAAGTGGTTCAATAATTGGTAAAGTACCAGTTTTGGTCCATGTTAAATCGTATATGTCAACTGATGTTTTACACTGGAGCAAAATACACTTACCCGTGGAAATTACATCTAGAGCAAAATATATTGATTCAGGATCACCTGTTGGACTCAACTCGACTTTTTTAATGTAAGTATCTTCGTTTACTCGACGACAGACATGTTTCATAGTTTCATTAATATATCGATATTCGATAAGATTTGATTGTTCGTCGAAAAAGAGAATGGAATCACTGCCGTATAAGAAGCAAGCCGTTTCAATATGAATCAGGACTTTTGGAGATCCATCTTTATCAAATAGATCTTCGACTATCTTATCATATAAAGTGTGCACAGGAGTCGGTGCTTGTAAGCAGCCAGTTCGCTCATCCATCTTGCCACGCTCTACCCGCCTATTGAGATTGTCATATATAAAATAGATATTTGATTTTTCGTTCATGAGAAATTTGGTAACTGGCGACGAGAGTCGTCGAGCCAATTCTAATTCCGGATTGTCTGCACGAGAAAAATTGAAATAATAAAGTGATGACTTCCCAGGTGGAAAATTACTCAAACTAAGATATCCAATTTTGTTTGATACAAAGAAAAGTTGAGATAGCCGAGGATTTTCTATCGAACCCGCCTCGCGTATTTTTAATTGAAAAGGTTTTCGACTTATTTTGAAATCACCAACATTGGCTTCGACATCAATTATCGGATTGATTTCGTAAAAATTACAGTTCAAATCGAAGTGAGACGTATGCGTGGTTTTCTGTGCACGTTGGTTTAACCAAAGAACAAGTTCATTAATGGAGGATTGTCGAATGTCTTTTTGTGAGTCAGTTAGCGATACGTCTCGCTTTTGTAAATATTTTTGCCAGGATTTCTTGATGTCATCATACAGCTGGCTATTGCGGTCCTTGTGCATCATATATTGAAGGCTTTCTGGTTCATATTTCTGTAATAATTCTTGTAATTCGTATATTTTGTCCGAGCAGTTGCCCACTTGATGTATTGATTTGACAATATAATCAACTGTAACACAAGAAGATGAACATTTCGTTCCCGATTTTGTATAATCTGAAATCGATGTTTCTAGTGAATTTGAAAGGTCTCTTCCAACAGATGATCCGCAGGAATCCTTTTTGAATTCTTGTCCGTTATAGTATTTCAAGCAAGAATGATCTTTAAATTGCTTAACAAGCTGTTTAATATATTGTTCATTAGCCTTCACTAGATTATCGCGCGTTATCGATTGGTAGCGTTCATGTATTTCATCGAGAAGCGTAACAAAGGCGGCATGTTCTTCATCAGGTATAAACTCGCGAAATACTTTCATAGCACGATCTTTCAAAGTGCTAAATAAATCCGGCTTAAACCATGAACCTTCCACGTATGTAATAGCCTTGTCATAATCAATGGGCTTATTTGAGTTCCTGTACGAGTTCTCAAGATCTTTTGATGAAACTATAATTTCTTTTTTCTTACTTTCAGTGTTACTATGTAGATGATGCATGTAAAGAAATTGAGTATGATCTTGTAAAACGCGTATCTGAGTATCGCATCGGCTTTCTAAACTATTGTGCCTATCACGACAGTTGTCAATATGGGGTGGTACTTGACTATTGTTTAATTGTGAAATGGAAATTGTCTCATTTGGACGAACACTACGTTCTTGCAAATGTACGGTAGTATTCACTGTATCTTGAAATGGGTTGGTTGTGTTTGTTTCGTTCTCAATACCATCCGGAGGAATAACCACAATCCTTTCGCATACGTCGAGCATGTATCGTACATAATCAACAGCTAGTGCGGTTGGAGATAATGGGCCTGACCAAAGTGTTGATCCTGGTGGACAATATAAGAACGCTACCTGATTGAAGTTCTTCACTAAAAGTAAGCTTTCTCTCGCTTCATGAATTGTATTTGTTGTTACTGGCAATGCTAACTGAGACGTGCTATCATCCAGCAAATGTTGTAATACTTCCTGTGATTTGTCTTGTGTAATATTAAGAAATTGACTCGCAGCATTAGTTACTTCTTTTGCATCGCCGATAAAACCTACACAAGTTATTTTACCAGCATCCAGAGAAAATTGGCTGAAGAATTTCGAAAATTCGTCGGCATTGTACTTGATCTTCTTTAATTTATATTCGCTTGAGATATCCTCAAATGTCTCAAACACTTTGGCGTATGTTAACGTAGCGTCCATTCAACAAAATTTTATTTTAAAAGAAAAACAAGGAAATGGCCAGTAGAAGTGTCACTAAATGATACACCGACAGTGACTGACTCTTTTTTTATATAGATTATTCACTATGAGTTTCTTCCAACATGCTTATCAGAAGAAGAATAGGTAAACATATTTCTTTTTCACCACACTTATGTGTATGTCGCATTCAGCAGAGTGAATCATCAACAGTTGTTTTTTCTTATCTTTCAAACTTTATAGTTTTATTATACGTTGTTGTCGTGGGACAATTTTCAAATTTATGAAACCGTTCTTTAAGAATGCAATGACAATATACTCATTGTTCTTTTTAAGTAAGCAAATAGCCAATCAATATTTATAGGTAATGAACGTGAAGACGGATAAGAGACGTATAAACCGAGAGTCGAAGTGTTCCTATTCTCTCAAGCAATATGCTGAAAGTTAAATTTAGAATCTTCAATATGTTAGAGTAAATGCATTTACTTTATGGAATTAAAACGTTATATTCCCATCCTGAAAGCATGAGTATAATAAACCGAAAATGGGATACTGAGGGTATGAGGGTGAATAAAATGATCGAAACCAATGTCATCAAAATCAATGCCTGAACAATGAGTTCTAATTGCAAAAACAAGTCTAATAGAAATAAAAGAATTTTATTCGAAGCATTCAGAGAAATTCGATTAGTTTCAGCGAGTGTTTTGACTCTTTTAGAACTATGGGACTAAAGCGAATCATTCATCGAATACATTTTACATCTCGAATATTCGATTTTATCTCACTGTCAGAACAGCAAAGTAGATAAACTGCATCAGTTCGTTCTTGTCTTCAAGTCTAGATGGATTTTTGTAAGAGAATGATCGTTTTCTCAAGAAGTATCATCGTAGTCACAGTACAACAGAATGTTTTTCGAATCAAATGTCGGCAGTCATGTCAAAAGCTGTTTTACGATTAGCTTGTATATCCTTCCGCCTATCGTAAAAGATCTTCGTGTGATCGTGAGGTATAACCTTGGGATCCTATTGACTCAATAAACACATACTGAATTTGATGGATGGGAGAGGAGTGAGTGTAAAAGTAATGCCATTCATTCTCGAAATAATTGTGAAGTGAAAGACAAAAATCGAATCGTTTGAAAACAATATTAGTCGAAATGCTACCAAAAATATTCAAATGTGGACGAATGTGTTTGTCTTCGAATGAAAGAAACGAAATTTCTCAACAGATAAACAACATTCGAAAGTTCTATGATAAGATTTGCATTCTGCTGTTGACAAATACCAAACGTTTATCATTTATACGGCAACAGAATATGTTGGAAACTTTCTTTTGTCATGGCGCGTGCAGAATATCGAAACGATTCTCGTCGTAAATTGGCTTTGATAATCGGAAATGGTGATTATGTCATGGGAAGATCTTTATTCAATACAACAAATGATGCAAAACGAATGACAAATGTTTTAAAACATCTTGGATTTGTTATTCATGGAGGTGAACCGAAACTAAATGTAACTTTCGATGAATTTGCCGTGACTTTGACGAGTTTTATTTGTTCAATCGGACCAAACGATTTGGTTTTGTTTTATTATTCTGGACATGGAATTCAATGGGAGGTAAATTAGTCTAATAATACCACTTTCTCTTTCTATTTTCTTCTTTCTCTCGTACAGGATCAAAACTATTTGATTCCAGTGGATAATTTCAAAGAGGAAAATAATCGAAGAGTCGAACTGAGTGGAATAGATTTAAAAAGACACGCGATCAATGCACAAACTTTTCTGAATACTCTCGATGATCGGGATCCATTTGCAATTTTATTTTTCTTGGATTGTTGTCGAACATACCATTTAAGACATGAAGAATTACGGAAAAATCGATCAAAAGGTGATCTGTCTACTCATTTTCAGGGATTAAGATTAATGCCTTTGAAGATTGGTTCATTAATTGCATTTGCTTGTGCACCTGGAACAACCGCGGATGATGGAAATAGTGAAGAGAAGAATGGATTATTTACAAAACATCTTTTGAGACATCTTTCAACATCGGAGGAAGATATTTTCGGAATATTAACGAATGTAACAAAAGGAGTTGTTGAAGAATCGAACAAACATCAAATTCCACATGTCACATTTTCGTTAACTGAAAAGATTTTCTTATTCAATGAAAAGCAAAGTAAAGATCAAATCAAAGAGAAATATATCAGGATAGAGAAGGACTAGATAGGTGTATAGTCATTGTTGGTCTCACTTAATACGAAATTGGCTCTACTGGATATTTACGTTTCGAAAATGGAACCGAGAAGATTCTTCAACAAAATTTTTTGAAGATTGTTTTTTTTGTTTCGATTTTCAAATCATTTTCGACTCTTTCTTCTTAAGTAGAAAGCAAATTCAACAAATGGAAACAAAAAGGAACAACTGTAGCAGGAGGATATGGAAAAGGTCACGAATTAAATCAGCTCTGGCATCCAATTGGAATTTTCATTGGCAAACGCCTAAATCTGTTTATTGCTGATTATCATAATCATCGAATCATTCGATGGAAACCAAATGAAAGTCAAGGAACGATCGTGGCAGGTGGAAAAGGAATGAATCAATTAAATTGCCCAACATATGTGATTGTGGATGAAGAAAATGATTCATTGATTATTGCTGATAATGGAAACAAACGAGTGGTTCGATGGTGGAATGAGAATGAACAAGAAGTTCTCATTGATAATATTCAATGTTGTCGATTGACCATGGATCGAGATGGATTGCTTTATGTTTCGGATTGGAATAAACATGAAGTGAGAAGATGGAAAATAGGAGAAAAAGGTCGAGGAAAAGTAGTTGCTGGTGGAAATGGAGAAGGAGATCAACTGAATCAACTGAATTCTCCCGGTTTTATCTTTGTGGATGATGAAGAATCTGTTTATGTTTCAGATTATGAAAATCATCGTGTGATGAAATGGAGAAAAGGCGCAAAGGAAGGAATTGTTGTTGCGGGAGGGAACGGTTGTGGAAATCATCCGAATCAACTGAATGGTCCTCAAGGAATTTGTGTTGACAAGTTTGGTTGCATTTATGTTGCCGATTGGGGAAATGATCGAATAATGCGTTGGTGTAAGGGTGACAGAGAAGGTGAAATCATTGTTGGCGGAAATGAATCAAATCAGTTGTGTTTTCCGATGGATATTTCATTTGATGTTAAAGGAAATTTGTATGTTACTAATTATGGAGATCATCGCATCACAAGATTCGACTTATATTCTTGAAATCGATTTCGAAAATACAATTATCTGAAGAAATAAATGATTTTTCCTTTCAATCGAAATCATGCGAATGACTTTTCGTCGGATGATGTCGGCACATTTATGATGATGACATTGTAGATATAAAAAATGGCCAAATGGATGTGAGTTGTAAGATAAAAAATCCACACAATTCTTTCAGACAATGGAAACAAAATGCAACTGTAAAAAGTTTTTCATAATAATACGAACCATTGACTCGATCATTTGTATTGGCATTGAATTGTACTGAACCAGACACACCAAGAAATTCGATTGCATTTAATAAAAAGTTTTAATGAACAAAACGACGATAAAAACAAGGTGAAGATCCAATAAATGTTGAACACGAAGAAGTATTTAACGATGAGTAGATTTGTTGTAGAGACTTAATCAATGTCCATGTCGCATCAAATGCAAATAATGTATAATTGCTCATTTTTTCTAAAGTTAGATAAGTTTCAGGTTCATATTGCGACCAAATTTCGTCAGCCTCATTCAATAACGTGCTGTTTATTGGTTCATTGACAATAACACTCGTCACAGGCTCAATAGTAAGTAGTTCAATCAGATTTTCACGAACAGTTTCATTAAAAGAGTCTAATGGGATGTTCGTACTCGATGTACATGTGAGTTGTAGATCAACAATATTCAATTGAAGTGCATCTTGTATAATCGAGATTGTGTAGTTCGATTCAGTCCATACAACCACAATTAAAGTTGAACTTTGTGTTAAGATCTAGTACTTGGAAACTATTCCCTGATAAATGAGTGATTGGTTCGATTCATGAAAAAAGAAGAATCCTTTTCTTGTATTAATTCTCGCGTGGGACACAATGCTATGATCTAGGTGAGGGTCAGTAATAACCACAGTGCCCTATTTGTTTTTCACTGTATCTGAATACACTCAACAATGGAACAATTCTCTCAGAAAAGGGTCGGCGAATCCATAGGATGAGCGTTACTTGTGATACTTGTAATCGGAAACAATTCAAACTTCTCTTATACTTGAATGCCAATACTGCATATGTACTGGTTGTGTTAACATATCAACAATATGCGACAGGAGCATTCTTATTCATCGTCAATGATCCTAAGAAGGTTGAATTTAAAACTATCAGTGAGTCATATTGGATAGACAACGATGAAAGACAAATTTTTCTTCGTATCAAATAGATAAATCATCAATAATTTACTCAGTGTATTCATCAACATTGAATGCAAGTAGTCAAACATATACTCGATGTTTTCTTGTACCTACAGTTTACTACGAAACGTTCAAATGAATGTTTTCATCTAGGCGGATTCTATAATATTAGAAGTGCAAGTGATTATGAGCTGTACGGATATTTTTATGAAGAAAATTTCGATTCGTTTATAATCTATCAACAAATTTAATTGAAGAAAGTGATACCGACTGTTCTCCTGAAGGATTTCGATTTTTTCGTAAATTCACTACTGACACAATGTACATCTTAGATGTTACTATATTTACTTCGAAAGTCACAGGTTCATTCGCAATCTTCGTATCTGGTCCGGTGAATGTAACTCTCGAACGTACAGGTATGCAGTTTTGCTTTCTCATGATCCTGCCAGTAAAAAATACTTGTTGAACAAATGTTTAGTTCAAAATTCCGGCAGTTGATATGTTGGGAATATGTGTAATATGCACGTCGAAGGTATTTGGTTGACTCTTGATAATATTTTAGGTCATGTGATCAATAAAACCAAAATATTTCATCAACAACCATTTTCATTGAAGATTAGTTCGACTATGGCAATAATTATGTTCGTTGCAGACTTGATAAACGACGTTTTGTGTTTAATCACACTTGAAAATAGGAAATTACGAGAAATGGGATGTGGACTGCATCTTTTCATCTAATCGCCTATCTTTCTTCTTACAATTTCGATGCTCTTAGCAAAGTTTTGGTTTACTGTTTCTACTCAAATGAACATCTCGATTCGCCTGTCGATACTCAATGATGAATTCAAATCAATGGGATTTCCTTTCAAGTTTTTCTTCCATTCGAATAATTGCTTAAATGGATGTGTAGCCTGTGAACAACCTGTTTATGTCCTTAAGTTGACAGACAAAATCCTTTCTTTTTCAAATAAAAAATGTTGATTGGTACGATCTAATCGAAAGTAGAGTTGTCCTTTGATGAGGTAACGTCACTACAGCGTAACGGTGACTCGTATTATTCGTAATGTTTTTATCTTCGTTCTCTTCTTCTTCTCTGACACAAGTATCTATTTACAACGGATACTACGTTCCTTTCGTCCACGTTTCCTTTTCCCCTGTAGCATATTTCGTAAGTAATTAGTCAACGATTTCTCTGTAAGCATTTGAGATTTGAACATCAAATTAGTATAGAATTTATAAGGAAGGAAATGAGTTATAGAAAACGAATAGAATGGAATGATTGATGAAACAAGCTCTGACTTGATATGATTAATTACCGTCTTTTTTTTCTCACAGAATGAAATTTACATAGAAGAAATCAATCGTTGTGATGCAACACGATTGAAGTGAATTTTTCTTTGCAACTTTCATCAAATGTCAAAAATCTCCGAATTTAATTTCAGATATTTATCCTAAAATCGAGTTTCCTTCATAGAAAAAAAACCAATGGCATTATCGACACGACCTTGTGCATTTCGTCAATGCAGACAACCATGTCGAGCGTTATGTTTATTTTGTACTCAATATCTATGTCGTGAACATTTCGATAATCACGATCATTCGATTAATGCACAAATTCCAACGTTAGTGAAACAAATCAAAACACTAATAAATCAACTTGATGATAGTCTTAATCCCATCTCATCGTCTTTAAAGTGTTTAAATCAATGGCGAATAAATGCTCATCGAACAGTTGATCGATTCTATGAAGAAAAATATCGACAATATCAACAAATCATTGAAAGGAAAACCGACGAACAGAAAAGACAATTTGATAAAATGGAAATAAAATTGAGTGAATTAATTCGACAACAACAAGCAACAGACGAAGAAATTAATTCAATGCAACAATTGATTGAAAATATGAAATTTAACATTCGAAACATGAAAAATCTTCGTTTAAATATCAATCCATTACTCATTGCTGATAATCTTGTTACTATTCCAAACGAGAATTATGGAATAGTTGATCCAAACAATCATTTTGTTTTTGAAAATTGTGAGAAATTTTATACTCTTGATAAATCACTCTCACGGTGGAAAGTTGAAAAACAAGCAAAAGAAATTCCAAATTCAATGAGTATGTTTATTTTACAAACAATTCGTCAGTTTATCGATACACATGGATCGTCAAACATGGAAATTATAATGAAGAAAACGAAAGATTTGCTTAACATATCGTATGGTGAACATTGGATTGTTCAAATTGTTGATGAACGTGAAAATCAATATTCTGAAATCGATGATTTTGTTGAATGTTTACGAGCGAAAGAAACACAATTGAAATGGATAATTCGAATTTTAAAAAGAAATTTTTAATAAAAAAAAAAAGAAATACATTTCTCGAACGAAATGTTAAACGTAAGGAAAGAGCAGAAAACTAGAAAATATGAGATCGTGTACGTATAGATCCATAAAAGAAAACCACAGTGTCGAACAATCCGAATTCGCAAAAAACATTCACAACGATGACTTAATCAATAACGAAAGTTTGTTGGATAAAAATAAGCATTTGAATTATGAAAATACTTGTCGGAAGCATTGTTGTGAATGAAATGATTGAAGTAAGATCTTTTGAATTTTCAATTTGTGTGTCATGCAGAAATATGACTTTAGTTCCTTTTAGATAAAACCTCATTGACAGCATATTCAATCAAAATTCAACAGTTCAAATTGAGAAAAATCTTTCTATTCATTGTTAGATATAATATGACCTTGCGTCATCAATCGAGAGATCTTAGTCAATAGCGAGAGAATGTGTACAGAGCAGTTCATCGATTATATGAAAGAAAACTTCAATAATTCGTTCAAACGACGAGAAATAAACAGAAAAAAAAGAATTTTACCAGATGAAAATAAAGTTTAATGAGTTAATTCGGCAGCAGAGAGCAGCAAAAAAAAACAGATTAAGTCAATGGAAACGATCGATTGAAGTTTTCAATTAAAACATTGGAAAATTGCAACATGTTCATTTAAATACCAATTTATTGACCCTTGATAATGAACTTATGACTCTCCCAAACGAAAATGATATCATTTTTCAATGAAACGTCCCTTTATATTGAAGATAATTCACTATCGCGAGGGATTTCAGATTTGATGAGAAATAATATTCTGAATAGGATCAACGTTTTAATCGACACTCAGGGATTATCAAACGTTGAAAAATATCATCAGGGATATGAACAGATGATTTAATGAATTGTTGGAAAACCATTGGATCGTTCAAGCTACTGGTCAACATCAATTTAACCGTATCAAACGATTCATTCAACGGAATATTTACAAACTAGAGAAACAAAATTAGGATGAATCATTGAATTTATTGACTAAGAACTCAGGAAATGAGTCTATCGAATAACAAAGACGGAGGGTAGTTACACATATTATAACTTTTCGAATTCGAAGCAAAGTCACCGTTGAGTACATTCATAATGTTGATACTTTCTTCAGAAAAACGAGTATTGTGTTTATGTTGTTTCAAAGTGATGAAAATAGTTTCCTAAATGTTTAGTCTATTTTTACTCCAGTTGTTTTGTAATCATTTGACTTGGATGAAAAATTTGTCCTTTTTCTAAAAAAAAAGTCATGTGCCTGTGTATGCACATGATTATTCTTGAGTATTAATTAATTCTTCCTTTACATCTCTGTTGTTTTGTTTTATTGAATAGTCTTAGAGAGAAATATCCTATTTCCTTTACCACCTACACTCTTAAGAAGAACCTGTTTAGCTGCGCTAGAGTTTTGCACAAGAACAAGCGACAAAGTCGTCATAACCGTCGATTTGGTACGTCAAAAAATACCAGCGAAACTAATTTTCCGTGATATGAATTAAAAAAAGAAGTGTTATTACTACATAGAATGAAAAACAAAGGAGATATTTAAAAGAACGTTCGTCAGAGATTGTCGCTTGAAGTTTTCTTTTTATCGAATAATTTGAGGGATGAACATTATAATGATTTTCATAAAAATATTAACACTATTGTTGATAATTATTCTCAAACAATCACTTGGACAAGATATGCGATCGGTTCGGATGCGTATCATGAAGGAACAGCAGTTTCAATGTGTTACAACAACTTGTTTACCATACTTTAATGCCATTCAGTCAAATCGTTTACAATGTCAAATTAATTGTATATCACAAAGCCAATGTAGAGCTGCTAGTTTTCATCATTTGAATTCTACTTGTCAATTGTTCAATAGCACAACAAATGAGTACACTAGTTTGGAAACAGCTATCGGATCTGTTGCAATGATTGCCCTGCTTGAAACACAAATGTTGTCTGGTGAGTAAACGTTTTACATAGTTTTAAAAGTATGACATTAGCAATTGTGTAGTCCGTATGAAGTTCGATCTATGAAAATTCAACATTCATTCTACTTATCTTCATGTAAATGCAAGTCTTCGTTTCATGAAAAGAACTCTGAATGTAATATTCAAAAATTAAATGAGAGTAATAAGAATGAAGCGTTAATTTCAGATTGTTTAGAGTCATGTTTTGCCAGTTAAATATCGTTTAGTTAGTTCCAAATGATAAGAATTATTCGTCTACGAGTCACACTAACCTGGTTGTTGTTGCGATCATAATAAACGGAATGTTCTTTGAGAACAATTTAAAATATAAGCAACCATGAACTTCAGTTTTATCTTTATTTTTTCCTGAAATACAGGATCAACCTCAACGTCAACCTCCAGCTCAACTTCTTCGACCACATCAACGTCAACCTCCAGCTCAACTTCTTCGACCACATCAACGTCAACCTCCAGCTCAACTTCTTCGACCACCTCAACATCAACGACAACAACAATGAAAGGTATACTGTAGTCTGAATATATACTATTTTGTATGAATTGGAAAAATCATGTGATCAAAGAGGCTCAAAAAATTTTCATAGAACAGCAAACNAACACGGGGGAGTAGTTTAGCGCAACTTAACTCTCCCATTTATGTTTTCGTCGACACGAATGAATATGTCTATGTTAGTGATGCTTGGAACCATAGGATTATGCGTTGGGCACCAAATGCGACAGTTGGAGAATGTATCATTGCTTGTACAGGGAAAAAGGGCTCGTCTGAAACGCAACTATACTTTCCAAATTCTCTAGCACTCGATAGTCAAAATTCAATGTATGTTGGTGATTATTCAAACAATCGAGTGCAAAAATTTCAATACCAAATTCCATTTTATAATCAACCAGAACTGAGTCCCTGTGCAGCATGGAGTTCAGTAGGAACGACATTTGCCGATAATGAAACAATTGGAGCAAGACCTTTTGGGTTGTTTATTGACATTGAGAATACAATTTATATTCCCGAACGAGCATTAAATCGCGTGCAAATCTGGATGGAAGGAAGTGCAACTCCGACATTAAATATCACCTTTAACTTAAGCAATCCGATGTCGATCTTTGTCACAAGTGTCGGAGATATTTATGTTGATAATGGTTCATCAGGAAAACGAGTTGATCGGTGGATGATGAATGCGACGATAGATGTCCCTGCGATGTATGTTCAAGATTCTTGTTACAGTGTGTTTGTTGATAACAACAATAGTTTTTATTGTTCGTTGGGTGATCTTCATAAAGTTATAAAAAAGCCGATGAATCACATAGCGAATCAGACGGTTCTGGTAGCTGGAAATGGTACTGCCGGATCGGGATCGTATATGTTGAATTCTCCTCGTGGAGTTTATGTTGATAAGAAATACAATTTGTATCTTGCCGATTGTGGGAACGATCGAATACAATTTTATCAATCAGGTCGACTGAATGGAACGACAATTGTCGGACAAAGTGCAAATAATTCTTTCGATCTCGATTGTCCGACAGGAATTATTGTTGATAATAATGGATATTTTTTTATATCTGATTCGCAGAATAATCGCATTATTGCTTCGAGTTCATATGGTTTTCGTTGCATCATTGGATGTACAAATTCTGAATTGAACCATCCACAGACGATTAGTTTTGACAAATACGGGAATTTATTCGTTGTTGATACTTATAATCATCGAATTCAAAAATTTTCTTTAATAATTAATACCTGTGGTAAAACATTCAGCAAAAAGATCTCTTTTCAACTAAATCTCTATTTCATTTAGTTTCTCAATCGTTAACAACATTCGTGGCGACAGGTTGTCTAAATCCGTCTACTTTCGGCGTGCATTGTAACGCATTAAGTAATCCTTGTGCTGCATTGAGTCCATGTCAAAATAATGGAACTTGCAATCTCAGCAATGCAACGTCTCTTGGTTATAGTTGTTCGTGTCCCGCTGGTTTTAACGGTAGTCAATGTCAATATAATAATCGACCATGTCAATCGAATATTTGTTGGAATAATGGGATTTGTAATGAAACATCGCCAACGACATATGCGTGTGTATGTGCTGCTGGATGGGAAGGAAAGAATTGTCAGACAAAAATCGATTTTTGTCAAGGAATTACTTGTCAAAATAATGGAGTTTGTCGTTCGAGATATTTGAATTATACGTGTGAATGTCTTAGTCAAAGTTATTCGGGTCGATTCTGTGAAATAACATCAACATCAGTGCAAACACGTCAACGAGTGGCGAAATCATTTGGTATCATTGCAATCATCGTCTTAATCTGTACTGTTTTATTCGTTCTTACTCTCGACGTTATAAAATATATCTGTGGTATTGATGTGACTGGAAAAGAACTGGAGAAGATTCGCGAAGAAAAACAATTGAAAAAACAAGAACGTTCATCGAATCGTCGTCACAGAAAATCACATTCGAAATATGTCAAAAGACGCATTCCGATTATTATTATCTCCATTATTTAAAATGCTTCCACTGTGTCCTTGTAAATGTGTTGCTAATAAAATATTTTCCTTTTCTATATCGCGGAAGATTAAATACTGATTTGGTCTGAGTTTTGCAGGACAATTTTCCAAGTGACACGAACGATCCATTGACGTTGGTCATTCAGCATTTTTGAAAGGCATAATATTAGCTCAGGTATTAGGATATAATCATTCATTTACCACACAGTCAATCAAGGTCGAGTGTGTCTTGATTCCACATGGGATTCGAATAGAACGACTTTTACTAGTAATACAGTCCTTGAAACTTTCCGAACTATCTATATTAGCAGCAAAAACGTCATCTATGTCGCTTCGCGAGAACATTCTCACGTTGTAGCCTTGTTCAATCACAGTACTTCTCCAACAAAACTCCTTTCTAATCATTCCATACGTCCAAACTCGATTGTTGCAAGTGACATAGGCCATGTTTACATCTTCAATGATTATCTTATATAAGGCGTTCAAAAATTAATCGCGAATCAAAGCATTTTGATTCTAATCATGAACATTACTTATCAATGTTGGAGTAGTTTTGTTGATACTAATGATACTTTGTATTGTTCATTAAATTCAACCATCTTGAGGGTGTGAGGTAAATAGAATCATGTTAACATTAAGTGAACTTGTGCTAAGCAGCTGCAAAAGAACTGGAACTACCTAACCCGTCTCTCGCAAGGTTATATGAAAGTTGTTGGGATTTTTCCGCAACGGATAGAGGCGTTAGGCGAAACGAGTTTGTGCATAATGTCAAGTAGGTTGATGGGTGTGAATAATGCGGTGTATCGAACTGAGAAGTATGAATGTAAGACTAGCTCTGTAGGAAGAAGGGGTCAGAGATGCGCGCAGATACCTGATAGCAAGTACGCAGCAGTAACCGAATAAGAGGGGAAATGTGTTGGAATGCGATCCAGCAGCGGCGAGTGAGGAGTTGCGGACCGAAGGGACGTCGACGACCCGTTGGAAGCAAAGCCCAATGAACACGACTGTGCTCGTACGCAAAAGTGAAGGATTTCACGCGAGTGATGCCCAGTCATCGGAGATACTAATGAAGAGTGGAAATCTTCGTGAAAAAAAACTGAAGTATGGGTTTGTGAAAGAGCTTCTATGCATGTTGTTTTGAAAGTGAAACAAGCACAATCAGTCGAGGATCTAGCGAGTCGGCTTGATGAGCGTTACTAGTAGATATCGCTAGCGATCGACACTGTTGACAACACATTCGCCGTTCTCTTTTTCTGTGAAACCGAATCAATACGTAGACACAGCACAACCACCACATGCTATCCATTGCCATGTTACTTAAGCCGTCTGAAGAGTCCCTTAAGCACGGACGAAACGTGTCGTGGTCTGTTTTACTCACCCACGTGGGTACGAAAAATAGAAATGAAGAAAGCAATGAGAGTGATGTCAATAATGGCACATCCAAGACATTTTATGATAAAAATCAAGGAGAAAAGCACTCAGACTGATTAGTTCTCACTCTGAAGCGAGCTCTTTCTTAATAAACTTCAACGCACTAAACGTGTTCACATTTTCCAGATAGATAATTATCAAATCAACTGATTGTTTGATATTGGTCACCATGAACATTGTCCTAGGTAGAAGCAAGACTTCCTTCTCATCCTCGTATTCAGAAACGCATGGCAAGTTGTCCGACAACCTGTACAATGCAATCGCCGTGTCACATAGTTCGGGAAAATGAAAAACCATGAGAACACGCTTTTTGTCGGTCGCAATTGACGGACCGATAAATTGCCGGGCTACCCGTTCTTCAAGTGATGTCGAACAAAAAGAGCATGTTCTGATAAGACTGTTCTTGTTGTGTAATGCCCATTGATATGCTCTCAGATCTTCATCTGTCATCGTCAGTCCACGAAATGATTGACCTTGAAATGTCCGACTCTCGAGCGATTGCAGCCGCCATAGAAGAGGCATAAAGAGTGCATCACTGTTGTCCCGATTAAGACTCTTATAGAAAGGCGTTTCAAGCGAGTACAGCCGGAGGAGTGGCTCGAGTTTTTTTTCCTTGGCATACTGTGAGAATAATTCTCGAGCTTTACGATATTCCAAATGAGTCGTTGGAATGCTACTGTGGATGACTGCTTGCAGTTGTCTCGTCATAATTTTTTCCGCATTTTCCTGCCAAAAGAATACTTTGCATGCCGTCTTCATAGGTAATTGACATAAAGGATTTGTCAGGAACTTTCTTTGGAAATTTACACAACTAAGATATGAGTCCGCCATATTACGGTGTATATTTACCCAACCACTGCTCGGCTTTGTTTCTGGCACGTGATCTTGACTATTTGCAGGAGCAGCCATGTCAAAAAGAGAACTGACATCGTCATGTGAACAAAATCTGTTGTGCCCATGACGCTGGAAAAGCTGTCGGATCTGATTGGTAGATGCTTCCTGATACGCGGTCAGTTCGTATCTGTTTTTTCGGTGACGAATAACACCGTATTCGTTCAAAAGGAGATGCACTATTTGGCTGTGACCAAAGAAAGCGGCAGCATGAAGAGCAGTGGATCCGTTCGGTTCGAGTTGATTCATGTCAGAAAAGTCTTGTGTAGACAGAATTTGTCGCGTTACTTGTACATCGCCGTTGCGACAAGACCAATAGAGTAAACTTGCTTCGCCTATTCTAGGAGTATCACGAAAGGCATTTGTGCTGCTTTCGTTGCCCATTTTTTAAAGTTGTGTAACTTATTCCGAAGCTTGTACACAGATTTTATAGAGTTGATATTGCTGTTGAAATAAGTGTTGAGTTAATGACACAGAAGGGAAGTTCTTCTCTAGATGAGTCAATTCTTATCACACTTAACAATTCATACATGGGAAAAAGCCAACCGCTCATGACACATTATTTTCATGGAGAACATACACATCATGATTGATACTTCCGTTTACACACTCGACCGTAAACAAGCGAGATGCATACAGATACAGGTGCACGCAGACATTGGTGAGTTGGGTAGAATAGCTTGGAAGAAAAAGAATTTACCTTTCACATTAGGCAAATGTACACAGTAAATGAAAACACACATAAATTCATTATGCTTACTCATGGCTCGTACTCAGATACGTTGAGTAGCTACACTAACCCTGTAGCACTTGAACACATAAGAATTTTACATTTTTCTTTTTAATCGAAACAATAGAAATGCATATTTGAATATATAAGATAACTCTCGACGGTTGTGAGGGCTATTTACTGGATGAGTTTTACTACAAAAATTTAATTCTGAACTACTTACGATTCGGACTTCGACCTTATTTATAAGTCATCATCAAGTACGTCCGGAATTTCCAAGGACGCTGCATGAAATTAAATACGAGCTCCGAAGAAAGCTATGAGAGTCAATTAATACGACTTCTAACATCAGTCTAGTGTTAAGATATAACTCCACTTCTTTATGGGTAACAACTTGAGAACAAACTTGACGAAATTAACAGCAGCATTGAACGTAATTTTTCATTTGATTCGACAAATAATCGATTTTGAAGGCTAATCCTTCATTATCAAGACCAGGTGTTGAATGATTCATGAACAATGCAATCAAAGAGAGTGACGAGAAAATTAGACCATATGTCCTATATCCAATCACAAACCATATCAGCATCTTCACCATAGATTTATTCTCCTCTCAGTGAAAGTGATGATAATTCTACTTCTTCTCAAAATCTATGAAGCCATTTTCATTGAATATATACACGAGGAGACTTCACTTAGATTTTCGTTTTCGTTTTCGTTTTATTTCATTTTTTTCTAAAATGCATTCATTAAACAGCTGGTATTTCAATGACAGTAAGCGCAATGAAACAACAAACTAATCCTATCACAAGCCCAGTCATCAAATGATTGATAAACTCGTAGCACAATAATTGTTTAATAAATCTATTAGAAAATTTAATACACGATCGAGTCATAAATTGAATACCTTGATTGTGTCAACCGTAGATGACTCTGATACGTCTAAGGATAAATCGATCAGAAAATTGAATACTCGACCAAATTGTAAATTGGACGAAACATTAGCAATTAATTTGATTGTTGCATTCGAAGATCATTCAGTTATGTTTGACAATAAACCAACAGAACAACAGACAATCTATAAAAACCATTGAGAATTCGATTGGTTTCTCCAATTGCGAAGTAAACATAACATCAACAGATAGGATGAATTTATCAACTAATAGTCAATCTAATCAAATCGATAGCTTTTATATTCTGACTGGTAAGAGTCCAGTATATATCTATGGTCCGATCTACGAACACGAATTCAATCGCAGGAAATGACCGATTGTAATGGCAAGTACTTCAAACTGACAATTTATCTTCAAGTGAATGTTACATATATCTTGATCATATCGATATACGATCCGAATACTACACATCCGTTTTCCATCAATGTCCTTGGCTTGGGAAATGTCAACCTCGCTTGGGTTAAAGATTTTCCAATAACTCGATCGATTTAAACATCAATATTAACAGCAAACCATTCGATATATTCTGGTACTGGCTGTGACAATCTTAAATACTACTTTGAAGTCATACAAATCAATGCGGAAGAGAATGGATATTATATCATAAGTAGTGATAGTTCGATAAGTACCGTCGGTCATATTCGCGAGCACGAATTCATTTCAATCAATCCAACTGTTAATCGTTTATGCAAAAATTATGATACTTGTATAATTGGAAACAATTCAAACTTCTATTATACTTGAATACCAATGCAGCATATGCACTGGCTGTGTTAACACAAAAGATTTCATCAACAACCATTTTCATTGAAGATTAGTTCGACTATGGCAGTAATTATGTTCGTTGCGTACTTGATAAACGACGTTTTGTGTTTAATCACACTTGAAAATAGGAAATTACGAGAAATGGGATGTGGACTGCATCTTTTCATCTAATCGCCTATCTTTCTTCTTACAATTTCGATGCTCTTAGCAAAGTTTTGGTTTACTATTTCTTACTCAAATGAACATCTCGATTCGTCTGTCGATACTCAATGGTGAATGCAAATCAATGGGATTTCCTCTCAAGTTTTTCTTCCATTCGAATAATTGCTTAAAAGGATGTGTAGCCTGTGAACGACCTGTTTATGTACCTAAGTTGATAGACGAAATCCTTACTTTTTCAAATAAAAAATGTTGATTGGTGCAATCTAATCGAAAGTAGAATGTCCTTTTATGAGGTAACGTCACACGTCACGACAGCGTAACGGTGACTTGTACTATTCGTAATGTTTTTATCTTCGTTCTCTTCTTCTTCTTCTTCTTCTTCTTCTTCTTCTTTGACACAAGTATCTACTGACAATGAATACTACGTTCTTTCGTCCACGTTTCCTTTTCGCCTCTTTGCTTTTCCCCTGTAACGTATTTCGTAAGTACTTAGTCAACGATTTCTCTGTAAGTATTTGAGATTTGAACATCAAATTAGTATAGAATTTATAATGAAACAAATAAGTTATAAAAAATGAATCGAATGGGATGATTGATGAAACAAACTCTGACTTGATACGATCAATTGCCGTCTTTTCTTCCTCACAAAGAATGAAATTCACATCGAAAAAATCAATCGTTGTGATGCAACACGATTGAAGTGAATTTTTCTTTGCAAATTTCATCAAATGTGAAAATCTCTGAATTCAGTTTCAGATATTTATCCTAAAATCGAGTCTCCTTCATAGAAAAAACCAATGGCATTATCGTCACGACTTTGTGCATTTCGTCAATGCGGACAACCATGTCGAGCGTTATGTTTATTTTGTGCTCAATATCTATGCCGTGAACATTTCGATAATCACGATCATTCGATTAATGCACAAATTCCAACGTTAGTGAAACAAATCAAAACACTTGTAAATCAACTTGATGATAGTCTTAATCCCATCTCATCGTCTTTAAAATGTTTAAATCAATGGCGAATAAATGCTCATCGAACAGTTGATCAATTCTATGAAGAAAAATATCGACAATATCAACAAATCGTTGAAAGGAAAACCGACGAACAGAAAAAACAATTCGATAAAGTGGAAACAAAATTGAGTAAATTAATTCGACAACAACAAGCAACAGACGAAGAAATNATATCAACAAATCATTGAAAGGAAAACCGACGAACAGAAAAAACAATTCGATAAAATGGAAACAAAATTGAGTAAATTAATTCGACAACAACAAGCAACAGACGAAGAAATCAATTTAATGCGGCTATCGATTCAACATATGAAATTGAACATTCGAAGAATGCAAGATTTTCGTTTAAATATCAATCCGTTACTCATTGCTGATAATCTTATAACTATTCCAAACGAGAATTATGGAATAGTTGATCGAAACAATCATTTTGTCTTTGAAAATTGTGAGAAATTTTATACTCTTGATAAATCACTCTCACGGTGGAAAGTTGAAAAACAAGCGAAGGAAATTCCGAATTCAATGAGTATGTTTATTTTACAAACAATTCGTCAGTTTATCGATACACATGGATCGTCAAACATCGACATTATAATGAAGAAAACGAAAGATTTGCTTAACATATCGTATGGTGAACATTGGATTGTTCAAATTGTTGATGAACGTGAAAATCAATATCCTGAAACAGACGATTTTGTGGAATGTTTACGAGTGAAAGAAACTCAATTGAAATGGATTATTCGAATTTTAAAAAGAATTTCTTAATAAAAAAAAGAAATCGATTTCTCGAAAGAAATGCTAAGTGTAAGGAAAGAGCAGAAAACTAGAAGATGCGAGATCGTGTGCATAAAGATCCATAAAAGAAAACCAGTGTCGAATAACGTGAATTCGAAAAACATTGACAATGATGATTTAATAAATAACGAAAGTTTGTTGAATAAAAATAAGCATTTTCATATTCAAATGCTTATTGGAAGCATTGTTGTACATGAAATGACCGAAGCAAGATCTTTTGAATTTTCAATTTATGTGTCATGCAGAAGTATGACTTTATTTCCTTTTATATATAAGCAAAAAAAGGAATTTTACCAAATGAAAACAAAGTTTAATGAGTTAATTCGACAACAGAGAGCAGCAAAAGAACAGATTAAGTCAATGGAAAACGATCGATTGAAATTTCAGATTTGATGAGAGATAATATTCTGAATAGGATCAACGTTGTAATCGACACTCAGGGATCATCAAACGTTAAAAAATATCATCAGGAATATGAACAGATGATTTATTGAATCATTTGAAAACCATTGGATCGTTCAAACTACTGGACAACATCAATTTAACCGTATCAAACGATTCATTCAAAGGAATATTTACAAACTAGAGAAACAAAATTAGGATGAATCATTGAATTTATTAAATAAGAACTCAGGAAATGAAAATGAATATTTTGTCTTTCGAATAACAAAGATGAAGAGTATAGTTACACATATTATAACTCTTCGAATCCGAAGCAAAGTCACTGTCGAGTACATTCATAGTGTTGACACTTTCTTCGGAAAAATGAGTACTGTGTTTATGTTGTTTCGAAGTGGTGAAATAGTTTCCTAAATGTTTAGTCTATTTACTTCAGTGGTTTTGTAATCATTTGACTTGGATGAAAAATCTGTTCTTTTTCTCAAAAATAGTCATGTGCACTGTGTACGCACGTGATTATTCTTGAGTATTAATTAATTCTTTTTTTTCACATCTCTACTGTTTTGTTTTATTGAATAGTTTTAGAGAGAAGTATGCTATTTCCTCTACTGCCCACACTCTTAAGAAGAGCCTGTTAGATTGTACTAGATTTTAGCACAAGAACAAGTGGCAAAGTCGCCATAACCGTCGATTTAGTGCGTCAAAAAATAGCAGCGAAACTAATTTTCCGTGATATGAATTAAAAAAGAAGTGTTATTACTACATAGAATGAAAAACAAAGGAGATATTTAAAAGAACGTTCGTCAGAGATTGTCGCTTGAAGTTTTCTTTTTATTGAATAATTTGAGCGATGAACATTATAATGATTTTCATAAAAATTCTAACACTATTGTTGATAATTATTCTCGAACAATCAATTGGACAAGATATGCGATCGGTTCGGATGCGTATCATGAAGGAACAGCAGTTTCAATGTGTTACAACAACTTGTTTACCATACTTTAATGGCATTCAATCAAATCGTTTACAATGTCAAATTAATTGTATATCACAAAGCCAATGTAGAGCTGCTAGTTTTCATCATTTGAATTCTACCTGTCAATTGTTCAATAGCGCAACAAATGAGTACACTAATTTGGAAACAGCGATAGGATCTGTTGCAATGATTGTCCAGCTGGAAACACAAGTGTTGTCTGGTGAGTAAAAGTTTTATACAGTTTTAAAAGTGTGACATTAGCAATTGTGTAGTCCGTATGAAGTTCAATCTATGAAAATTCAACATTCACTCTACTTATCTTCATGTAAATGCAAGTTTTCGTTTCATGAAAAGAACTCTGAATGTAATATTCAAAAACTAAATGGGAGTAATAAGAATGAAGCGTTAAATTCAAATTGTTCAGAGTCATGTTTTGCCACTTAAACACTACTGTTTATTACAGTTAAATACCATTTAGTTAGTTCCAAATGATAAGAATTATTCGTCTACGAGTTACACTAACCTGGTTGTTGTTGCGATCATAATAAACGGAATGTTCTTAGAGAACAATTTAAAATATAAGCAACCATGAACTTCAGTTTTATCTTTATATTTTTCCTGAAATACAGGATCAACTTCAACATCAACCTCCAGCTCAACCTCTTCGACCACATCAACATCAACCTCCAGCTCAACCTCTTCGACCATATCAACATCAACCTCCAGCTCAACCTCTTCGACCACATCAACATCAACCTCCAGCTCAACCTCTTCGACCACATCAACGTCAACATCTACGACAACGGCAATGAAAGGTATACTGTAGTCTGAATGTATACTATTTTGTATGAATTGGAAAAATCATGCGATCAAACAGGCTCAGAAAATTTTCATAGAACAGCAAACCGTGATGTGAATGCAACTGAAGTAAAATGGCGTTTTCTATGCTTGCTACGAATTTAGAAAAGAGGAAAGTGTCTCAAACGAAATTATCCTTTACTGATTCGTTGTTTTAGAAGTGAATCCTCTCTATCAAGTAGTTCATATATAAATATAGAGATCTTCGAAAAGGATATGCATTTGCTATTATTTATGACAAATGAGAATTAGCAACAAATGCGATTGTAAACTGATAGAAAACCACTCTAAATCTAGAAGAAATTAGGTTTTATTAGTCGAAGTTTTTATTACAAATAACTATCGTTATTCTTGTTTCCAGTAAGAACTGTTTACATAAGCAGTATTCACACATAGCTGAGAATACTTTCTTAATTTTCCTTGTTGTCGTTTTTTTTTGTAGTTCACATTTCTTTCGAAGGTCGAGCGAATGTGTTTGACATGAATTTGTACCAAAAGATACAAATTTGTGCACTGTTTTTAATAACTATAGCTCATCGATTAAGTATAATTTGTTTTTATTTGTTCGTGTTATTTAGTGTGGAGAACTACAGGAAGTATGAGTAATGCACGGGGATATTACGCAGGATCGATGTTGAAGAATGGAACAGTGTTAGTGGCAGGTGGGTCTAATGGTGCAAGTTATTTGAACAGTGCCGAATTATATGACCTATCAAGAGGTAATTGGACAACAACAGGAAATATGAACTTCTTTCGAAGATCTCATGCAGCATCCGTTTTGTTAAATGGAACTGTGTTAGTCACAGGCGGACACAACACTGATTTTCTAAACACCGCTGAATTATATGATCCATCAACAGGTAATTGGACAACAACCGGAAATATGAGTATGACACGAGCCTACCATGCTTCGCTTGTCTTACAAAATGGAAAAGTCTTAGTTGCAGGTGGACATGATGGTTATACGTTTCTGAACAGTGCTGAATTGTATAATCCGTCAACAGATACTTGGACAACTGTAGGTAATATGAGCTCTCCCCGAAGATTACCCTCATTAGTCATGTTAACAAATGGCATTGCATTAGTGGCAGGTGGATATAGTGGTAGTGTTTTTCTGAACAGCGTTGATTTATATAATTCGTCAACACAGACTTGGGTACCGACCGGAAATATGAATGCTGCGCGAGGAGTTTTTACAGCATCGATATTACACAATGGTTGGGTGCTCGCTGCAGGTGGAAATAGTGGGAGTGGCTATTTGAGCAGTGCTGAATTATATGACCCATCAACAGGCGTTTGGAATATGACAGGCAGTATGAATAATCCACGAGGACAGCATACAGCATCGATCTTACCGAATGGAATGGTGCTCGTTGCTGGTGGATACGACGGTAGTAGTTATTTGAACAGTGCTGAGTTATATGACCCGTCAACGGGTATTTGGACAACAATAGCAAGTATGAATGCTTCACGATGCTATCACATAGCATTTGTCATAGGCAATGGAACTGCGTTAGTGGTTGGTGGACTTGTTGGTAGTAGCTTTCTCAACAGTGTCGAATTGTATTGATGCGGTTTTAATAGGAAACATTTTCTTTCATAACCTTAATTATAAAACCCATTGTTGTGTTCATATTATTTATCTATCATTGTTTGTAATTCTTCAATTTTTAATAAATGATATTCAACTACTTACAAAGAACTGAAGCCCTTTGATTTGAAGGTTTTAGTGCTATTGGGACTGTCAAGGTCTGACACCGGAACATTTCGCAAGACTACCAGGAAATGTTTGCTTTTTAAATATTTAAAATGCGATTTGTTCTTATAATCATCGTTAAAAGAGATGTCATAATTGATTATCGAAGTATAAATGATATTGTGCTACCCTCGCCCGTTGGAATTGTATATGCCTGGAGCTACTGAAATCACTTTCACCCTATCCACATTTTATGAAGAATTCCACGAGATATGTGAACGATATAAATTCTGAGACTTATTCATTCATTTTACATACTGTACGTTATGATAGAGAAACGATTTATCCCTATTCTCTTTCTCGTGGAGAAGAGTCTTAGAAACATAAATTGTTTGCTTGCTTGCTTGTATGTCCGCAGGGTCAAAAAACATTGAAAATCGATTTTTCCGAAAAGACATTTCCAGATGTATTTCGAGGCGGAGACTTCGAATCTGATGTTGTTTTTTTAAATTTTTCATAAAAAACACTTTTTTAAACAAAGAACCACTTTTTTACAAAAAAAGTTTTTTGTTATAAAATTTTACCAAAGGGTTTTTGGGGTCCAGGAATTCACATCTGATGTTAGTTTCTCGAAATTTTTCATAAAAAAATTTTTTAGGAGAAGGGTTATTTTTTACGGAAAAATTGTTTTTTGGTGAAGTTTGACCGAAGGGTTTTAGAAGTCTAGAATTACGAATCTCAAATCAGGTTTTACATATTATATAAACAGAAACTTCGGTGATATTATAGAGGATGATTTCTACGAGAAAGAGCTGAGCGAGTCCACAGACGAGCGTTACTTGTTCAATTAAAGCTACAAAATACAGATTAATTTGTGGGATATTCTCGTCATCCTGTGTCATATATGACCCGGAGATAGTATGATATAGAGGTGAGAGAATAAAGAATAGAAGGAGATGAACGATATAATTATCGTTACAAGAAGCAGCTTTTTTTGTTGTTCTATCGGGCACGCTCTCTAATCATTGGCGTTCTTACATCCTTTTTTCTCTCATCACATTTCCGAGGTCGTAACTTCGAAAACGCACAAAAATGCAGTGATGTAATTGGCAGATGTGATCGGGTATACTCCTAAAGAAGAAATTGACGATGCAGTCGCAAGCATCTGTCGCCAACATTCAAATAATACTATAGCAAATAGTGTTCCATGTAAATCAGAACTTTTAATAGCTGCTCTTTGAACAACCGACAGAATCCGTGAACTTTCTATGCTCCAAATGTTCGTATCAATGGATCAGATGAAAAGAGAATCACGACTCCTTTTTAAAGAAAAGTCTTGATAAATACCTGACGCTGATTCCGTCACGCACTTCTTCCGATGCATCAAGATGTTTCAAAGGTGGCATATGAGCGTGATAGATAGAGGGTCAAAAGTTGATGTTAGCCCTCCGGTGAGCGAAGTCATATATAACTTGATCATAGATAAAAGTGAACTGTATGGTATTTTCGTGACGGAGTCACAAGTAGAAATGGATGTGGTTTCCTAATTCGAATATCATTTTCCACGAACGATGGAACTTACATCATTGTATACAAACTTGATACTCGTCGATATTCGTTTCGTATCAGACAATCAACTTTCGGAGAACTATGTTTGTTTTCACAAATATTCAAATGTGATATTCACAAGAAAAGTTTAGGTCTCATCGTATATGTTAGACTGTTCGACAATTACTGCGCTCTCCCAGAAATAGAAAACTCAGTTGACCTTAAAAGTACCATTTCTAATGTTTGAAACTATGCTCTATAAGATGCTTGCGTCCGTTTCGCTCCATTGTATGGATGAAACTCCCTCATACAGGTGGACCGTTACGTGGACAGATCGATCTACGGACAGTCGATGACGTTCACTTCCAATTCGATTATTTGAAGATCTGATAGATGAATACCGAAATGAAATCATTCCCGTTAGAAGACAATAATCAGTACCCTTGTCCTCTTGATCAATGTTCTCCAGATGGACTAATATCAGTGCGTGATTCCATTTCGATGATCTTACTTGGAAAAAGAATTCTTTTCCTTTCGGAGAAAAACATCGATTCTTTGTTTTCTACTGTTCATCAGTCGATTCCGATGGTCGGGATCGTTTGGATGAGAATGTTGTTGATCGTTTTATTTGTTGAGGAAAAAAGTATCGAGATCACAGGAAAAAAACGAAAGAGATGATGAAAATGAAAATGTTCGTTTGCTAAATTCCAGTCATTGAATCAGTCGTCGCGAGCAAGTGAACCACAAAGAGAAGAATCATTCTTGCATCCATCAATAAACTAAATCAAAGCTTTCCCTAATTTGATCTCTTGTATTTGATTAAACTCCCTTGGTCTCGTTTCAATTGGTTGTTTCTACTAACAGTGTATCTTTCAATCAATTTTTTCGCCGAACGATTTGCATGATGATCACCTTCCATAATCAAGTAACAATGTGTCTATTTGAATTTTTGTGAACAATCATTTTACCTTGACCATCCGTTTGACTGATGGCTTCCAACAGAACCTAGAGAGAAAAAAAACCGTCAGTTCTAATTTCATCCAATCATTTGACTTACACTAGTCGCTCGAATCACATCACAAGTATGCACTAAAAATCGAAATCATTTTTTGCGAGGATAACGAAAATTAAATCGAGAATATTCACTGGTGTTGGTGTTATCAGAATCGAACAAACTGAAGGC